AAACATGAATATACAAGAATATCTATGGCATCACTATTTGTTTTGTTTTGAGCTAGGGTCTGACTATATAGCACTTGTTGTCCAGACTCACTATGTAAACCAGGCTGGCCTCCAACTCACAGAAATCTGCCTGCTTCCCGAGTGCTGGGACTAAAGGCGTGCACCACTATGGTCAGCTGAATAACCACTTCTAATAATTACTCTTCTCCAAGCCCTCTTAAAGCTACAATAAAAAGCTGCTTTTTTTTGTTTGCCTTTCAAAGTAAAACTCCCAAAAATGGGGAATAGGAAAGAAGACAGAAATAAAAATTTGGAAAATAGAAACAGATGGACAATTGACAACTAATATAACAGACCTGAAAAAGCTTAAGCCTAAGCTAGCAATGGGTAAAGCTGAAAACCACATGATTTCAAAAGACTCAGTAATTCTGCACAGAAGGGTAATTACTTGTCTGCAGTACCTAGTCCACAAAAGGTTTGAACATGCATTATAATGGCAACACTGTCATAATCAGAATTTATTTACTGTATAAGAGCATCGAGAAAAATAAAGGTCTGGTATGAGGTTAAATGGACCAAGTAATGTTACTGTGAGGGACTAAAGCATGATATGTAAATTTTCAAGTATTAATTTATAATGAAAATAAAGTATTTCCTAGCAACTGTTTTCCCAAAAGCATGTGGCTATTATAAATGAGGTCCTGGTTTCCTCCTTAGTCCCAGGAGCGGGGGAAGTGAGAAAGACTTTGAGATATAGGAGAGAAAAGGCTCTACTGATACTCTGTGGTGCCTATTTTATTATAGCCTTACTGATTGTCTTACTCGAGGCAACAATGCTTTTTCCATACTTTCCTGTGCTCAGACAAAAGTAACACTTTAAAAAGTAATTTGGTTCACACCTGAAAGGCTGAGTGTGCAAGATCACCAAGATTTTGCATCAAGCACTTAATTAAAACTTTACAAAGTAGCAATTAAAAATATATTTACTTGGTGGTTCATGCTGCTGTAATCTCTTCAAGGACCACACTTTCCTTGGCCCTAATTTTACATGCTATTCTGGAGTCAGGGCAAGTTTTCAAATCTTTCTGCTCTGCTTTTTGCTCACAATTCTCACTATCAATTTGGCAAAAAGCAGTTAGCATAAGTTACACAACTGCCTGAATGCTGGGCTCCCCTGAAATTTCCTCTCCCCAATTAACTAGTCAGTCCTTTAAAATTCAGCATCACTCATAATCTCAGGACACAGACAAAGAATGGACAAGTTCATTGTCAGAATAATGTATGTATGATCTAATTCTTTCTCCCATTTAAAACATCGTGAGCATACTCTTTACTATTTGCATTTCTATGGGCATCCTGCTCTTCTTAATTCCTACCAGAATTGTAGTATTCCTGGCATTCTTTAGATCATTTCTTCTAACTTTTCTAAATCCCTCCTAGAAATCAGCTCCAAAGGCTTAACATACCAGATTTACTCACAGCCACAATACACTCCTATTTTAGAAATTTTCTTTTGGTGGTGGGGAGGGAGATGCTCAAAAGGAACTTGAGATACTGTAGCCCAGACTGTCCTTGAACTTAGTATGTAGTCCAAGCTATCCTTGAATTTACAGCAATCCTTCTTCCTTGGCCTCATGGGATTATCAACTTGTACCAACATACCCGGCTTGGTACCAATTTTCTATGATTTTTTTCACTTTTAGCATCAATTTAAGAAAAGAAAGCTTTGTTTTGGCTCATTTTCAGAGGTTTCCATCCATCATGGCCAGGAGTGTACGGTGGAGAAGAACAGCATACATCATGTAAGCCAGGAAGCAGAGAGAGAAAATGCCTATGTTATTTGGGGCCCATCCTATGGAATGATACTGTCCACATTTCAGTTAATCTTACCCCCTAAGGTAATCATCACAGAAAATGCCCTCATATATGCACTGCTAATTTAAGTGTTTTGTAATTAAATCAGGTTGACAATCAAAATTAACCGTTCCAGGTGAAAATGCAGAGATAGACAAAAATCTACCACTTTACTGGAAAACATGAATTCAAAATAGGGATCCTCTGGAAAAGTAATAAAATCCTTGTAGTCAAGCTTTCTCTGGAGAGTGCAAACCTATATCCTAAAATGAGAGGACCCAAAGAACAGATTAGAGCTCAATTTTCACCTTTAGCTCATTGTACAGTTCCTTCTCTCTTGATTTGGGATTGCTTAGGTTATCCCACAAGCATTTACTTCCCAGATATAATACTAATGAACTACATTACTGAAGTGAATTAAGAAGTAGTCCCCTGCCATTGAGGGCTTACAGTCTAAGAAGGAAAGCAAGTACATAAGTAGGAAGCTGTAATACACAGTGGTCTAATACCATGGAGGAAAGTTACTCAGTTAAGCCTAGAAACTAGCTAGGGAAGGAAGTTCGGAGTTATATGTTCAGTAAGAGGATACCTGAGTTAAATCTTAAAGGATAAGAATTTAGTCAGGTGAACAGAAGAACAAACTATTACAATGAAAACGAAAGGTTAGAGCACAACATAGTTGAATGAATGGTAATAAGGAGAAATATACAGTAGCAGATGTAGAGTGTTATTAATAGGTTGCTACAGAGCTGGGCATGATGGTTCATATCTGTAATCTCTGCTTTGGGAGGCTGAGGCCTGCCTGCCTGAACTATACAGTGAGTTCTAGGCAAGCCTCAACTACAATATTAGACCTGGTTTAAAAGGGGGGAGCAGAACAAAGATGTCCACTGGGATGAACAGGAGGCTGACAGAATCAGACTACAGAAGAACTAGTATGACATACAATTCTGTTATCCTGTGCATCAAGGTGAACCACATTAAGCAGGACAAGGACACTGAGCCACATTCTACATAAATCATTTTAGCAGAGTTATATTGGGGCAAGAATGGAGGTGGGGTAACCAGTTAGGAGGCTACTGCAATAGTTCAGGCAGAAAGTAATGAGGTCCTGAACTAACAAGTAACCTTCTAACAAGTCACCTTCTACAAACACCCAAGTTGACACAATTACCAAGGAGGATCACAGCAGAGCAGTGGCAACAAAAATCCTTGATGCATCAATACTTACCTGTGAACACACACACATACACACACACACACACACACACACACACATGCACGCACGCAAGTGGGTGCGCACACGCATCTATGTTTACATATTATACATTTACGTATACTTTTGTGGGTTTTTATCACTATTACACAATTATGGGTTGTTTTATTCTACATTAATAAAAACGTGTTTAAACCAAAAAGGAAAACAAGCAAAAAGCAAAGCACTCTGTATTCTATTTATCTTACAAGTTCAATTAATAATAAAATTTACCTCCCAAATGCATCATTTTAGTAGAAATAAAACTACAAATTATAGTTTAGGAAGAAAATCAGTTAGGTGTAATCTGTAAAGTTTCTAAAATTAAAAACATCAGATTTCTCAGAATAAATCTACATATATGAAAAACAACAGTAAGGAAATAACACATATAAAAGATACAAAATTTTGTAAGATAAGAATCAGTTGAAGAGATCCGATGTGCAACATTAGTATAAATATATTCTCCCCAACCCCTCGGCTCTTTTGAGGTGTTTCTTTGTTATGTAGCCTTGGCTGTCCTAGAACTTACTATATGGACCAGGCTGGCCTCAAACTCATAGAGACACACCTATCTCTGCCTCCCAAGTGTCAGGATTTAAGGTGTGTGCTTCCATGACAGACAACAATGTACTATATTCTTAAGGATCATGAAGAATGGATTTTGAGTTGCTCTCATTATATAAATAATGTGTGAAATAATGCATATGCTAGCTCAACTGAGCCATTCAAATATATGCATACTTCAGAACACGATATAAACAATAAATGTATATAATCTTGTTAATGAAAATGAGTAAATATGTTTTAAATTAACATGACCTTAGTATTAATTTATTATAAGCCCATTTAATACATAAACCTTAGTGAGACATTCCCATTATACTCATTTCCCAGATCAGAAAACTAAAGCATAAGCAAGTTTACTTTCCTAAATTAATGTTTTCCTGCCTTTAGAAGTCTTATTAAGACCATTAGTAACCATATGTAGATGGAACTATGCGTTTCTAAGAACATTTTAATTTCACAAAGTACTTTGAATTAGAAAATCAAACTTAGGCTTAGGCAATGGAACTAAGACTTTAGAGTCAGTAAAACTCTGATTTAAATCTAGTCTACTACTTACTAACTTGGAGATTTTAGAAAATGACTAATTTCTCAGAGCTTTCAAAGCTAAGATTCAAAGGTTTCTTGTAGATGTTCTATCTGTATAAGAAATGAATCATCAGACACAGGTATCATTTATATGATAACAAACGGCTAAATACTATCTTTAAAATCAAAGTGAAAACAATGTTTAAGAAAAGGCTACTCTTTTCCCTAATATGAATATCGATATCATTAAGTGATAAACTAATTATCCTGACTTTCCCTCACTAACTGGTAAGAATATATAATTAATCCTTGCTAATCTAAGAGCAAATTTACTAGTTTGCAGTTAAGGGAACTGTTTAAAGCAAGAGTAAAGCACACACACCTCTTCTCCCACACACACATACCCCACCAAAGATTTCTACTATTAAGGCGTTAGCTGGGGAAAATCTGAAAATCAGTGCTTGCTCCCTTGTTACTGAGTCTAACCAGAAAACCAAGTATCTCAGGCTGCCTTTGGGATTTGTCACCTGACTGTCACCTCCTCCATTAGAAAAAAGAAAAAAGAAACCTTTGGAAAAACTAAATACTTATCTTACGCAATACTGAGGTTATTTATAATTTTAGTTAATTCAAGTAGTTGTTTTAATACTTCTTATAAAACTCAGTAGATATATTTCAGTATAGAAGTAATCGCCAAAGAAATAAATCTCAGTAAGTCACTGAGATCACAATATGTATCTGTATAGATATATATTAATTACATTTTTAAAAACTCAAAATGCACCACAAACATTACCTTGGTGTTCCTCTAAATCCATGTCAAGTTGTCTAATTTCTTCAATAAACTGATTTATTTTTTCCTTTATATCTGTTAACCTGTTAAAAAATATTAATGAACTTTAGAAGCAACAAAAGAAAAACATAAATGAGCATCATCAAATTGAAATCTTCTCTACTACCAAAACATCATCAAAGATGAAATACATCTGAGAGAATGTGAGAGTTTTGTTAGTCATGTATCTGGCGAGTGAACTGTATTTTGAATATATGAAGATCTCATTTTACTTAATACCACCAATAATAAGTTCACATGAGACTGTACAAAGGACATTAGTAAACCCTTCTTCAAAGATGACATACACATGGTCAACAGTGCATGAAAAGAAACTCAACACCATAAACCATCAAGGAACTACAAGTGAAAACCATAGAAAGGTATTAATTCACATCCATTGGCATGGCTGTTATGAAATGACAAATAGTAAAAAAAGAAATAATACTAAGTGATAAAGATGTACAGAAACCTGGACTCACACACATTACAGGCAAAAATGTAAAATGCCTATTTGTATAGGATATACAATGCTTTTTATGTAGTCATTTGATCTAGACTGGACTCCAAATTTATAAAGTAAAACACAAAGTAACCACATAAGCCAGCAATCCCTGTAGGGAAAAGGGGCCAGCCAAAGAAACACAGCCTGAGCAGAGCCAAAGAAACACACTTTGGCCCTGCAACCAGAACCAAAGAAATGTACCCTGACCCTGAAACCAGTGCCAAAGAAACACACTTTGTCCCTGGAATCAAAGTCAGTGAAAAAAATACACCCTGGCCCTAAAACTAGAGCCAAAAGGCTAAAAAGGACCAGAGAAAGAAACACACTTTTGTCCTGAAACCAGAACCAAACTGACCCTAACCCTGTGCAGAAAACTAGCCAATCCTTGAGCAGTAGCTCTAGCCAATCTGAACTCATCATTGAAATCTGACCAATCCCCACCCTGGAAGCCCTATATAAACCCCGTGGACAGCCACTCTCCTGGATTCTTCCCTCCCAATAAACCCCTTCGATGAGCTTTGGGTGAAGACCTTTTGCGGCAGAGCAGAGAACAGGGCTGTTAACACTTTTGCCAAGGAAACCTTCCCTGGCAGAGCTAAGTTGTTACACTCGGCTCTCCACTCCCAGGAGCAGAGCTGAACTGTAGCAACTTTCCCCGGAAAACCTCCTGCCTGAGCAAAACTGCTACACTAGACAAACATCCCCAGCTGGAAGACCCTGTCCTGCTGGAGCAGAGCGGATACACTAGGGAAGCCTTTCCCTGAAGCAGGGCTGTAAGCAGCTGCGCTTACTGTGGCCGGTAGTAGTCCTTGGCTCCCGAGCTCCAGGATACCTTTCCATCTGAGCTGTGTAACACTCAGTATTCTGTGGCTCCTGAGTGCCACAATACCTGTCCCACCCAATTCGTCCGAAATGCCTACAATTCCTGAACATTTGTACAAAAGAAATAAAAATAAATTCCCACACAGAACCAGCTTCTATATGTTCATGTCAATGATTCCTAATAGCAGCAAAATAGAAACAAGCCAAAGCCTATCAACTGATAAATAAACAAAACATATCAGACGCATACAACAGAATATTAATTGGAATTAAACTACAGATGAGCCTTGAAGCTGTCAGGCTAAATGAAAGCATGTAGCCACAGAGGACCAAAAGCTGTATGATTACACACATGAAACATCCAGAATAGGCAAATATACAGTAACACAGAGTAGGAAGGGCAAGGAAAGCAATGGCTAAAGGCTATGGCATTTTGTTGAGAAGACTCAATGGGGGTGATGGTTGTCCAACTGTAAATATAACAAAAGCTCTGAATGTCATGCTTTAAATATATAATGCACATAAGCCTTCTCTTATTAAAGTTATTTTTCAAAGCAATTACATTAGGCAATGACTCAGAATTAAAAGCGGGATATTGAAAGTTCAGTAAATACTAAATCATGAATGTGAGCTACAGAAAAAATGTCTATAAAGCATGTACTATTATAACTTTAGGATGTAATCTGAAAGATGAATGAATATAAAATGTCCTGGTTCAAAGGTACTTACTGTCTCTCCATGCTGGCTATTTCCTGATTATCTTCTTTAACCTATATAGGCATAAAAAGGAACAGTATTTAAAGAATAACTTATTATTACACTATCTGAAAGAGAACATCACTAAGAAAGCATCACGGATTGCTCCTTCTTCCTCAAATACACTCTTGCCTATTGTCCTGGCCAGTTTTATGACTGCTTGATACAAGCTAGAGTCATCTGAGAGGAGAGAACCTAAATTTGGAAAATACCTCCACAAGATCAGGCTGTAAAGCCAGGCGTTACTGTACACACCACTAATGCCAGCTATTAGGAGGCAGAGAGAGGTGGATCTCTGTGAGTTCAAAACCAACCTGATTCACATAGTGAGTTCCAGGACAGTCAGAGCTGTCTCTAAATAAATACATACATAATTTTTAAAAATCAAGTTGCTTTAAAAAAAAGGTCGAAGGCAAGCCTATATGGCATTTTCTTAATTAGTGATTAATATAAAACGGTTCAGCCCATTTTGGATAGGAATATCCATGGGCTGGTGGTTCTGAGTTCTTTAAGAATGCAGACTGAACAAGCCATGGGGAACAAGTCGGTAAGCAGCAATTGTTCATGGTCCCTGCATCAGCTCCTGCCCTGTTTTCAGTTCTTGCCCTGGCTGCTTCTGATGATAAACTATGATATGAAGTCCAGGTAAAGCCCTTTCCTCCCCAAGTTGCTTTTAGTAATAATGTTTCTTCATAGTGATATAAACTATAACTAGGACACTTATCTACCATGTACCATCAGGTTAACTTATCTTCCAACATGGGTCAGTTAACAATAAATATCTTGAATTCCTCAGAGTCTCCCACACCCTAGGGTACAGCTACCAGATTTGGGAAGCCCCAGTAAAATAAAATTTCAGAAAAACAATCAGTAACTTTTAGGGGACATTTATACCATGCCATGTAGTATTTTGAATACACATAATTCCTTATTCTATAGAAGATATATATATATATATATATCCTAGATTATCTTAAACTCATGGGGTTTTTTGTTTGTTTGTTTGTTTGAGACAAGATTTCTCTATGTAGCCTGGCTGTCCTGGAACTCACTATGTAAACCAGGCTTGCCTCAAACTCACAGAGATCTACATGCTTTTGCCTCCCAAGTCTTGGATTAAACTAGTGTGCCACCAAGCCCACTTAAGCTCAGGTTTAACTAGCAATCCAACTAAAGAGCACTCTCTCCTTTCCTGCCCGTAATCTTTTCTTTGTAAGGAATTTCTGAAGTTTTAGATTAAAAATATTTTATATTTTATTACATTTTAATAAATTTTTTATTTAGAAACAATCTTATTTTACATATCAATTCCCCCATCCTGTTCCCTCTCCCTCCCATTCTCCAATGCCCCCTACCAGTCCCCCCAACCCACCCACTCCCCACTCCCCAAGGATAGTTAGGTTTTTCATGGGGGATCATCAAAGTCTGTCGCATCATTTGGGGGAAGGGCGTAGGCCCTCCTCAAGTGTATCTGGGCTGAGAGAGTATCCCTCCATAGGGAATGGGCTCCCAAAGTCCATTTGTGCACTAGGGATAAATACTCATTCCACTGTTAGAGGTCCCATAGACTTCCCAGGCCTCCTAACTGGCACCCACATTCAGAGGTCTTGGTTCAGTCCAATGCTGGTTCCCCCCCGCTTTACGACTGGGGTCTATGTGCTCTCATTAGGTCAGGTCAGCTGTTTCTGTGGATTTCTCCAGCACAGTCTTGACTTCTTTGCTCTTCCCTCCTCCCCTCTCTACAACTGGATTCCAGGAGTATGGCTCAGTGCTTAGCTGTGGGTGTCTGCTTCTGCTTCCATAAAGGCCCACAACCAAAAATAAAATTTTATTACATTTTAATTTATTTACTGTATGTGGGGGGGTCACTATAGCACAAGGACAACTTGAAGAAACTAGCTCTCCTTCTACCTCATGGGCTCTTGGGATTAATCTCAGGCAGCCTTTACCTGCTGAGACATCTGACAAACCAAGATTTAGACTTTAAGATCATCCTAGATTGTGTGTGTGTGTGTGTGTGTGTGTGTATTTATATGGGTGGTTTTTGCTTGTACATATTTCTATGCACAACTTTTTTTAAAAGATTTATTTATTACGTGTGCAGTGTTCTGCCCAGAAAAGAGCATCAGATCTCATTATAGATAGTTGTGAACAACCTTGTGGTTGCTGGGAAGTGAACTCAAGACCTCTTGAAGAGTAAGCAGTGCTGTTAACCTCTGAGCCATCTCTCCAGCCCCTAAGATCATTCTAGAAAGATTGATTCTAACAGTCAGTGAATTGATCCATAAGGTTCCAAAAGCCCACAACGCACAAGAAAAAAAAAAAAAAAAAAAAAAGAGCCTCAGAGGAGTTCCTGGAGAGACCTCTGTCCCATATGAAGAAAAAGTTCTCTGAAGGATCCTTGACTCATTTCAGCATAAACATGTTCACTGTAACTTACAGCTAAGTTAAAACAACCAAGAAGTAGTGGAAAAGCTATGGGATACATGCTATGTGATTATGTCATTTATAATTTATAATTTCATATAACAGTTAAATTCCATTGTCTTCATGAAGGCATTGATTCTAACCACACCAAAGTCATCAGATTTGGGATACTTCTTCTTGTAGAGATTAATTAATAAATTAATAATTAATTAATTAATTAATAAAACTTATTTTCAGTGAGATTATCTAACCACTTAAATCACCAATAAAGAAGTATCCATAAAATAATGGCTAAAATATGCATGAAAAAAATTAAAAATAAGTACTTACTCTAAAACCAAATTATTCAAGAAAGTAAGATTTTTCTATATTTTCTTGGCTCAGTATTTTATATTGAAGTGAAGCTAACTATTGTTTTTGAATAATAATCACATTGGTTTTCTGCTTAATTCAAAGCTCTTAAAACAAATAAATGGCTGGAAGTTGGTGTGCACGCCTTTAATCCCAGCACTCAGGAGGCAGAGGCAGGTGTATCTCTTGGTTTGCCGCCCGCCTGGTCTACAGAGTGAGTTCCAGGACAGCCAGGGCTGTTATACAAAGAAACCCTGTCTCAAAACAAACAAACAGCAAAACCCCAAAATAAACAAATAACTTTCTTCCCCTACCTGCTTAAGCAGTCTCTCCCTCTCCTCCATTGGCGATCCCATGCTTTTGTCTTCTGCAATCATTTGATCTCGATGGGCCTCTAACTCATAAAGCTTTTCATGTAGCAATACAGCTTCTTGTTTTATCTGGGAGTGTGCTATTTCCTAGGAACCAAAAGGAGAGACTTGAGTTGGTCTTTGTAGAGACAGGAAGTTGAGATAAAGTAACGAGGCTGTTCATTCCAACATGACTGGTGTCCTCAGACAGACACCAGAGCTCACACAGAATGCAAACTGATACATAGATAGCACAGGTAGTAGCTGCAGGGAAGAAGCTGCCTTAAGGAGTGCTGTCAGTGACTGGTGAGGAGGAAGAAACCAGCACACCGCAGAATCTCAGAGGGAGCAAACTCTGCTGACACACGTGACTTTTAACCTCCGCAAACACAGGAAAATAAAAGTTGACTGCTTTGCTAAGCCAGGTCGTGACCGTTTGTCCCAGGAACACTGGGACGCTCATGCAGGTACAGCAGTTGTGGTGTATTTACCACAGTTCCACTTTCACAGAGATAATGTCTAAAATGAAACAGATGTGATCAAATTCTTTTAGATAAAAAGAGCTAGAAGTGACTGCAGTGATAAAAATGAATAAATTGATTTTGAACCTATGATTTATTGGTCTGTGGAACTATATATTCCTCTTCTGGTCTCTGTATGCACCAGGTATGCACATGGTGCACATACATGCATGCAGACAAAATACTCCTACACATAAAATAAAAATAAACCTTTTTTTAAAATGTACATTTTCTCATCAGTCCTCCTTCTCTGTCACTGGATTCCTTGAGTTCAGCCGAGTGTTTAGCTGTGGGAGTCTGCCTCTGCTTCCATCAGCCATTGAATGATGAGCAAAGGGATTAAGACTGGGCTGGTTTAACCCCCAGAAACAGCTGACCTGACAAGGGTTAACTCTTGACTCCCAGACTGATGTGAATCCAGCATGGAACTGATCAAGACCCCCTGAATATGGGTTCAGTGAGGAGACCTAGGTAATCTATTGAGCCTTGGGTAGTAGATCAGTATTGATCCCGGGTATACAAATGGACTTTGGGTGCCCATCCAACAATGAGAGATGCATTCTCACCCTGGACTCCCAGGGAAGGGTCTAGGCCCTGCCCTGGATGAAATGACAGACTATGGACACCCCCATGGAGGGCCTCACCCTCTCTGGGGAAATGAGGGGATATTGGAGGGGTTGGTGGGAGGACATGGGAGGAGGGGAGGGAAAGGGAGAGGGATCTGGAATTGATATGTGAAGGAACCTTGTTTCTAATTTAAATTTAAAAATAAAAATTGTAAAAAAAATGTACCATTTCAATGGAGATTAATAATAACCACAAAAAACAACTAACATAAATTTGCAAAGCTGTTTTACTCATAAACACTACATAATACACTAATTTAAAATAATGAAAGATAGCTCTAAGATTATGCAAAGACAGTCAAAAAAGTGATATTAATGTGTGTGTGGAGGGGATGCACTACAAGTGTCATATCCAATTTCAAACATGAATTCTATTTGAAGTTTTCCGATATTTTAAAAGCAAGACAGAATTACAGCATTGCTGTGAAGGTTAAATGAACATACTGGTGATATGTATAAAGAACTCATAAAATTGAATAACGAAGAAATGAACGTCAAAGTAGTTCTGTCTGAGAGGGGTAAGAAACAAACATTTTATGCTATCTTTTTTCAGTTTTAAAACCATATACATTCACTTTATCTTGTAAACTAAAACTCTTTAAAGAAGAAAAATACAGAAACAGGGAGATAAGTGATATCAGAAAGCATGAAATCCATGAAGAGTCAATAAAAGGTTTTAAAGAAGGTCATACTTTGAAAACCTGTACTCCACAAAATTCGAAAATTTAAAGGAAATGGATGACTTCCTGGACAGCTATCATTTGCCAAAACTAAATCAAGAACAGATAAGCAATTTAATAGACCTATAACCCCTATGGAAATAGAAGCTGTCATCAAAAGTCTCCCAACCAAAAAAAGTCCAGGTCCAGATGGCCTCAGTGCAGAATTCTACCAGAAATTCAAAGAACAGCTTATACCAATTCTTCTCAAAGTGTTCCACACAATAGAAGCAGAAGGGTCTTTGCCAAACTCTTTCTATGAGGCTTCAATAACCTTGATCCCCAAGCCACACAAAGATACAACTAAGAAAGAGAACTTCAGACCAATATCCCTCATGAACATTGATGCAAAAATACTCAATAAAATACTGGCAAATCGGATCCAAGAACACATCAAAACAATCATTCACCACGATCAAGTAGGTTTCATCCCAGGGATGCAGGGATGGTTCAACATACGAAAATCCATCAACGTAATCCACCATATAAACAAGCTGAAAAACAAAAATCACATGATCATCTCACTAGATGCTGAAAAAGCCTTTGACAAAATCCAACACCCCTTCATGATAAAGGTCTTGGAGAGATCTGGGATAACAGGGACATACTTAAACATAATAAAAGCTATATACAGTAAACCAACAGCCAACATCAAACTAAATGGACAGAAACTCAACGCAATTCCTCTAAAATCAGGAACAAAACAAGGCTGTCCACTCTCTCCATACTTTTTCAATATGGTACTTGAAGTTCTAGCTATTGCCATACGACAACAAAGGGGGATCAAGGGGATACAAATTGGGAAGGAAGAGGTCAAACTTTCACTGTTTGCAGACGATATGATAGTTTACATCAATGACCCAAAGAACTCTACCAGGGAACTCTTACAGCTGATTAACACCTTCAGCAAAGTGGCAGGCTACAAGATCAACTCAAGAAAATCGGTAGCCCTACTATATACAGATGATAAAAGGGCTGAAAGAGGAATCAGAGAAACATCACCCTTTACAATTGCCACAAACAACATAAAATACCTTGCGGTAACGCTAACCAAACAAGTGAAAGACCTGTATCGTAAGAACTTTGAATCTTTAAAGAAAGAAATTAAAGAAGCCCTCAGAAAATGGAAAGATCTCCCATGCTCTTGGATAGGTAGGATCAATGTAGTAAAAATGGCAATCCTGCCAAAAGCAATCTACAGATTCAATGCAATCCCCATTAAAATCCCAGCACAATTCTTCACAGACCTTGAAAGAACAATAATCAATTTTGTATGGAAAAACAAAAGACCCAGGATAGCCAAAACAACCCTGTTCAACAAGGCAACGTCCGGAGGCATCACCATCCCTGACCTCAAGCTCTATTACAGAGCTATAGTCCTGAAAACAGCTTGGTATTGGCACAAAAATAGACAGGTAGACCAATGGAATCTAATTGAAAACCCGAGTATTAACCCACACACGTACGAACATCTGATCTTTGACAAAGAAGCTAAAAATATACAATGGAATAAAGAAAGCATCTTCAACAAATGGTGCTGGCATAATTGGAGACTGGCATGTAGAAGAATGCGGATCGATCCATATCTATCGCCATGCACAAAACTTAAGTCCAAATGGATCAAAGACCTCAACATAAATCCAGCCACACTGAACCTCTTAGAAAGTGGGTGGTACCCTTGAACAAATTGGTACAGGAGACAGCTTCCTGAACATAACACCAGTAGCACAGACAGTGAGATCAACAATTAATAAATGGGACCTACTGAAACTGAGAAGCTTCTGTAAGGCAAAGGACACAGTCAGCAAGGCAAAAAGGCAGCCCACAGAATGGGAAAAAATATTCACTAATCCCACATCTGACAGAGGGTTGATCTCCAAAATTTACAAAGAACTCAAGAAGCAAGTCTCCAAAACACCAAAGGACCCTATTAAAAAGTGGGCTGCAGAACTAAATAGAGAGTTTTCAATAGAGGAGTCTAAAATGGCTGAGAGGCACTTGAGAAAGTGCTCAACATCCTTAGCCATCCGGGAAATGCAAATCAAAACAACTCTGAGATACCATCTCACTCCTGTCAGAATGGCTAAAATCAAAAACACCAATGACAATTTATGCTGGAGAGGATGTGGTGAAAGGGGGACACTCCTCCATTGCTGGTGGGAGTGCCAACTGGTTCAGCCACTTTGGAAATCAGTATGGAGATTCCTCAGAAAAATGGGAATAAACCTACCACAAGACCCAGCAACTGCACTCTTAGGCATATATCCAAAAGATGCCCATTCATACAACAAAGATGTCTGTTCCACTATGTTCATAGCAGCTTTGTTTGTAATAGCCAGAACTTGGAAGCAACCTAGATGTCCCTCACCCGAAGAGTGGATAGAGAAAATGTGGTACATCTACACAATGGAGTACTATTCAGCAGGAAAAAATAATGGAATCATGAGATTCGCAGGCAAATGGATGACACTAGAAGAAACCATCCTGAGTGAGGTAACCCAGTCACAAAAAGAGAAACATGGCATGTACTCTCTCATATATGGATTTTAGACATAGATCTGGGGAGTGCCAGCCTACAATCCTATGGCCAGAGAGTCTGGGAAACAGAAACTTCATTCATTGGCTGATCGAAGAAGAGGCAGACTCCCTTGGTTAAGTACTGAGCTGAACTCAAGAAAGCCAGTAACAGAGAGGGAGGACTGATGATCAAAGGGATTAAGACTGGGCTGGTTTAACCCCCAGAAACAGCTGACCAGACAAAGGTTAACTCTTGAATCCCAGGCATCAGCCTGGGAATCCAGCATGAGACTGATCAAGACCCCCTGAATCTGGGTGTCAGTGAGGAGGCCTAGGTAATCTATTGAGCCTTGGGCAGCAGATCAGTACCCATCCCAAGTATACACACGGACTTTGGACTCCCATAGAACAATGTGAGGTGCACTCTCACCCTGAACTCTTGGGGAAGGGTCTAGGCCCTGCCCTATATGAAATGACAGACTATGGACACCCCCATGGAGGGCCTCACCCTCCCTGGGGGAATGAGGGGATAACGGGGGGGGGGGGCTTGGGGGGAGGGCACGGGAGGAGGGGAGGGAATGGGAGAGGGACCTGGAACTGACTTGTGAAGCAACCTCGTTTCTTATCTAAATTTAAACTGGAAAATAAAATATAAAAAAAAAAGAAGGAATAAAGAAAATGCAAGGGTTACAGTCTCAAATGATTTATCTCCCCTCCCTTTTCCTGTTTTTAATCTCCTATACTATAAACTGCAGTTACATTTTTGCACAGCACTGTAGGGCAATGATTTGCTTTGTACCCAGTAGTTACTAAAGAAACAACAACAACAACAACCAATGTATTTCTTGCCTATCTGAGACTTTTGTGGTCCAGAATGGGAAGAAGATATATTGAACTCCTGTTAGTAAACTGCTGAGTGCATGCGTTCAGTTAATGTTCCCCTGAATCATCTCAGAGCTTAGTGACAGGAAAGCACTCCCATGACTTATACTCACGGTTTCTAGGCTCTCCTTTTTTATGTTCAGTGAATCTAGTTGTTGCTGAAGTGTGTCTAATTCCTAAAGGGAAAAAAGGCAAATAATAATTTTTCATTTTTTAATATATCACCTATAAATGTGATAAAGTAGATTTTGTAAATATATTCAATTTCTATCTTTTCATAGTGACTACAACTTACCAAGATTTCATTCTATTTGGGATAGTTCCTTTCATTAGTTCTAAAAGCCTTCCCACACCGGGCGTTGGTGGCACAAGCCTTTAATCCCAGCACTAGAGAGGCAGAGGCAGGTGGATCTCTGTGAGTTTGATACTAGTGAGTTCCAGGACAGCCTCCGAAACAATACAAAGAAACCCTGTCTCAAAAAAAAAAAAAAGTGTTCCCACATAACTTCAAAACCACAATTATCCTACCAGTGTTCTGATCATAGTAATTATCAGAAACCTTCAAATTAGTGATGTCATTGTTCAAAATCAAGATTTAAAATTCTAATCTTTAGCCACATTCTCACGTCTTTTGACTGTTTTGGGGCCAAGACTTACATATACATAGGAAGAGGACAAAGGGAGAAAGATGGAGGGAAAGACAGCTGGCCACAGAGGGAAAAGGAAAGAGGAGAGAGAAGGAGGAGAGAAGAAAGAACCAGTGATTAGTCATTCATAACCCTGTATAAAATTTAATACACTGAGCCGGGCGGTGGTGGCGCACACCTTTAATCCCAGCACTCGGGAGGCAGAGGCAGGCGGATCTCTGTGAGTTCGAGGCTGGGCTGGACCGATAGCCTCCAAAACAATACAGAGAAACCCTGTCTCGAAAAACCAAAAAAAAAAAAATTTAATACACTTTGGTAATAGCTTGGCATTTCTACAATATTCTTTCTTCAATGACTCATTTTATCCAATAAATTTTGTCTAAGATAAAAAAAATTCTACTAATGTTAAATGAAGGAATATCTGGGAAATAAACAATATTCATTACTGGTGATTATTGGCCCAATTTTTTGGTAATCCTTCAGGAAGAGTGTTATCTGGGTTTGAATAAGTATGGCGATGGTTACCTCTGAGAGGATTATCAGCAGGCACACTAAACTGTTCTTTTAAAAAATCAGGGACATAACAGGTAAAAAGGTTTTCTGCTTATCAAACACGGAGGAAAATGAAAGAAAACTAATATCCATGGGCCTCTGGCTTATGAACCCCATTAATATTTTCAGACCATGTGTGGTGGTGCATGCCTTTAATCCCAGCACTTAGGAGGCAGCGGCAGGAGGCAGAAGCAGAAGGATCCCTGTGAGTTCAATACCAGCCTGGTCTAAAGAACAGGTTTCAAGGCAGCCATAGCTACATAGTGAGACCTTTCTCAAATAAATAAGTTCATGCAAGTGTATTCATATACCTTTATGACATATAAGACTGAAAGGTGCAGAGAACTAGATGATTACGTATTTTTTAAAGCTACAACACCATGCAACATACAAAAATGAATCCTGTATCAGTGCTTCTCACACTTCAAAGATCGCAGAAATTAGCTGAGGATTTTGTTACAGTTCAGTGCTTAGAGAGACACTGATGTTCTTTTTCAAATAGTCCCTTGACCACATGGAGCATGGTGCTACATGCCTACATGCCTAGCACACACTCCAGGATATTACCTGCAACAGTTTCTCGTTTGTAGTTTTCATTTCTATGTACTTGACTTGTTTTTCAGGAGACATATTTTTGATAATGCTGTCTGCTGCTTGCTTTTCTTGTTCAACTTCTTCTTCTACACTTCTGATTTGTTTTTCCTTCCTGAAATCAAAAGCATGGAGTGTTCCTGTTAGTTTATTGAGGAAAAAATATCAAATAATTTTATTTAGGGGTACTTAAAAACAAAATCAACCATAGTATATAAAAGAAAGTCCTTATATTTCTATTTTAAAAGTATATAAAACTTGATCCCCTTAGCACACACTTTTCTCTTCTGCATTCCCAAATTCAGTTTCTTTATTCTCCATGTAAATGTATGAATAAAAGAGAAAGATTATCACATACAATCTCTCAGGCCTTGTGTACAAACGAGGGTTCATTTAACCTTTTGGAGATCTTTAGTGATATGCCTTAAAATCAGAGGGCAGAGCTAGCCACTAGCTGACCACAGACATCTGGAGGTGTGTACAGACAGGAAGTGAGAGAGAGGAATGTAGGTGGGAGGAAACTGGAACTTGGTCTCTTCAGTCTGAGGATCTTATAGAGGTAAGAGCTCTAGTGCTGGCTGCTCTGATCTTTCAGCTTTCACCCCCTAATATTTGACTCCAGGCTTTTATTATTAAGGCCTATTAGAACTTTTGTTACAGAGATGACACTTCCAAAGTAAGTTTTAGTTTTAAAATAGTGACTTTCAAACATCAGTTACAGCATTCTTTGATCAAGTTAAACTCTTGATAGAAAGTTACTACATAAATCATGGTAATTCTGACTGAACTGGCCAATATGGAAAGCTACACTGCAATATAAATACTTTTTTCAGAATTATTTATCTTATGTGATTGAGTGTTTTGATACATGTATGTATGTGCTGTGTGTGTGTGCCTGGTGCCCACATAAGTCAGAACAGGTCGTCATATCCCTGCAACTAAATCTACAGAGATTTGTGAGCCACCATGTGGGTGCTGGGAATCAAACCCCAGTCCTCTGCAAAAACAAGTGCTCCTAACCACTGAGCCATTGTGCCCGCCCCACAATTTGACTTTTTTTTATAAAGAAAATCACAGATTGGGCAAGATGGTTCACTGAGTCAAAGTGCTTGCTGCACATGCCTGATAATCTTTAAATCTATGGAACCCAAAGCAGGCAGCAGGACAGACCAAATTTATACATTCGCCATGCTGAGCACTCAAGGTGCATATGTGTACACAACAACGATAAAGCTCTAATAAAAACTTAAAAAGAAATTATACCTTAAGATCAAAAATACACTTTGCTTAAATGTGCTTTCACCTATGGCTTTAAATTCAATGCTGTAGTGGTTTGAAAGAAAATGGCCCCTAAAGGAGGTGTGGTCCTGTTAGAGGAAGTGCGTCACTGTGGGGTGTCCTTTGAGTTTTCTTTTGCTCAAGCTTCCCTCAGTGTGACTTCCTGCTGCCTGCAAGATGTAGCACTCTCAGCTTCAGCACCATGTCTGCCTGCACACCACCATGATCCCCTTCATGATGATAATGGATTAAACTTCTGGAATTTTAAGTGAGCCATCCCCAATTAAATGTTTTCGTTGTAAGAGTTTCCAAGGTTGGGCTGGAGAGATGGCTCAGTTGTTAGAGTACTGGCTGCTCTTCCAGAGGTCCTGAGTTCAATTCCTAGCAACCACATGGTGGCTGACAACCATCTGTAATGAGATCTGGTGCCCTCTTCTGGTGCTCAGGCATACATGCATGGAAAACACTGTATATATAATAAATAAATAAATCTTTTTTAAAAAGTTGCCAAGGTCATGGTGTCTCTTCACAGCAACAAAAATCCTAAGACAAATGGGTATTTAACAGGCATGTTTTAGCACCATAATACACTCATTTCCTGAAAATATAACTATTATACAATAATAGTATTTTTATTAATTCTTTGAGAAGCATATAATGTATCTGATCCCCTATTCCTCTCATATCTATCCTCTCTACCCTCACATAGCTCCCTCTCTCTCCCCAACTTTTGGATTATCTCTTGTGCCCTCAGTACACTGTAGTTTATATTAAGCAATTCTCACGGGAGTGGAGCCTGTCCTAGAGTATGGTTGACCTACTGGGGTTATTTCATTAAAGAAAACTGAGAGAATTTATTTGCTAGATATTACAGCTCATACTTTTAATCTCAGTACTTGAGCAGCAGAGGCAGGCAGATATCTTTGAGTTCAGGACCAGCCTGATCTACATAGGGAGTTCTGGACCAGCCAGAACTGCATGGTGAGAGCCTGTCACAAAAAGAAGAAAGAAAAATGGAAAGAGTAAGTTTGATTAACATAAAGTTTTAGTACCCAGATCATGAATTTCTCACTGGTTTTCAAAAATCTGATTAACCTATCATTATTTATGGCCTTGGCTCATAGATAACAATTTCTACTGTCTTTAATCAATTAGCAGCTAAGTCCAGTAGATCCACATACCTTCTATACACTCATATCCTACAACCATCAAAAGGAACCGAAACCTAGAACATTTCCTACAAACATCTCAGAATAACCAAATCAAGGTAATGTGCCAAACAATTGGGAATTTCCATTCACTTTTGCCTCACTCTTGAACAGGCAGTGATATCTTCCCTCTGATCATCAATAATTATAATGTAACAATGTGCTTTCTACTGCCAAAATATAGGTAGGTGCATGATCTCACAGAAAGCTGAAGCGGAAAGTGCTATTTATTTCACTCTTTGTTTTATCAAGTTTACTAAGACATTAAGGAGTTATCTTGGTTTTTTTTTTTTTTAAAGATTGATTTATTTATTATATAGTGTTCTGCCTACATGCCAGAAGAGGGCACCAGATTGAATTGTAGATGGTTGTGAGCCACCATATGGTTGCTGGGAATTGAACTCAGGACCTCTGGAAGACCAGTCAGTGTTCTTAACCTCTGAGCCATCTCTCCAACCCAAGGAGCTATCTTTTGGGGAAAAAAAATTCTACATTCCATTATTCAACTATCACTGTTTCTTCCTATGCCTATTGCAGTTAAATGGGAGCTAATATGTATTCCATTTGCAAAGGGTTAAGATTACATCACAAGGAAGGTATCTTATTTTCTGAAGGCATTTAATGGCTGTCAGGTCTTTAGATGGCTTGAGCACTTTGCCCTGGTTATAACCTGGCAGTAAAGTGACTAATAAAAGCAAGGTACCATAAAATGAGTAAGCAATGTGAAAGGCAGCAGAATATACAACTTGGTGGTATACTTTTAATTTGAATCTAACAAACGACAACATAGCTTTGTAATTAACCCATATTGCTTTAGAAACATCTTTCAAAAATACTCTAAATATTGTACATTTTAACACACAAAATTAAATTGTTAATATTTTGATAAATTTTTTAAACAAAACACAAAAACCAAGCAAACTGTTACTTGTTTCACTATAAAAGTCAAGGATGTCTTTAAGAAACTAGGCTTCTAGTCAATCTTTTGCTAAGGAAGCCCAGCTTCTTCTTAATCGCTTGTTCACTGGGTCCAAAGGTTAAAACAGTGAAATGCAATCATCTGACACAGGCTTTCCTGGTGGTGTAGAAGAATCAGAATACATGTCTTGAGCACACCGGTCTCAGATACAAAAAGGACAAAGCAAAGGTAAGATCTTACATACTTAAGGTCTGGTTGTTGTTACTGAGTTAAAAAAAAAATTAAGTTTGTTACATCTGTAGAACAACCCTTGCCTTTAGTGACAATGAGCAGAAAACATGATCATATTTTCACAAAATAGTCAATGGCTCTTTACAAATAAAGTTTTCATCTCATCTAGCTAATCAAATTTTTAAGAACATTTTTAAGTATTCAAATGTTAATCATAGAAGTCTGAAGTAACTTTCACCTTAAAACAAATTTACAAGTTTAAAAGAATCACTAGTTGAAACTATTGAAGTTGGGTGATAACTACTATTATCAAAGTGTTTTCAAAGATAATTTCCAATATCAGTTATTTATTATTTAAGTTTTAAAATTCAAAAATCACACAGTAGTTAAGGAAAGGAATAAAGACAACTTAATCATTAACATCTCACTCCAAATGTACTGTATTATGGTATAAAATATTGAAGAACAAAATTACTTCCAGATTTTATTTAATAAAATCAAGATAAATAGAGCATCTTTTTATCTCCTGCTTATAGTATGTCATATAAAAATAAGCCAAAATTCCTAAACTTGTACTGGAAGCTTCATATAACAAGAATATGATTTCTGTATCAGCATCATTCCTTTGTGTTTAAGATTTGGTTTTCCTGTGTAGTCTCTTAAATCCATGAACCAGCTAATGGAAACTGACGCTCTATTTCTTCCTGATTATTAATTCTTTTTAAAACACAAAAATTATTTAAAAATAACTTCCAACTGGAGAAAAACCTCAAAAGAAATGGCCTTTTTTTTAACTGCCTTTTTTAAAAAATAAATTTTTGAAGAAATGGTTTTGTCTGGGAATTTATATAGAATCACAATACCCACTCTCTGTTGGTCTCTTCCCCTAGCAAAAAATACGAACTTGCATGAAAAAGCCTATAGACAGTGTAGGTTACAACTTCAAACACAGTAGTGCTGCAGATACATTCAAAGTAGAACCTTGCCTATATGTTGCTTTCAATTCTAAAATTCATTAAGAAAAATGTGTCTATCTTCATACTTTTCTTTTAGTACTTATAGAAAAAGTACTAAATTATAGAAAAAATTACTAGATGACAAATATAACATGATCCTCTAGCCCCTTCTCTCCACTGGCTCACAGCCTACCTTAACTCCACTTTATTCCTTGTCTGTTTGTTTATTGAGACAGGTCTTTCGTGTTCTGGAACACAGGAGGATGAGGGTGGCCTCAATCTCATAGAGAACCTCCCTCTGCCTCTGCCTCTGCCTCTGCCTCTGCCTCTCTGCCTCTGCTTCTGCCTCTCTGCCTCTGCCTCTGCCTCTGCCTCTGCCTCTGCCTCTCTTCTGCCTCTCTGCCTCTGCCTCTGCCTCCCTAGAGCTGGATTGAAAGCATGCACCACCACGCGTGGCCCTCACTTGCTTCTCTTCCACACCAACTCTTCATTTAAGTCAATTAGTTTTTTTATAGCCTATCTGCTTTCTTTAGCCAACCTTATCCCACATGCCTGAAAAACCATTACTTCCCCTCCCTCACTCATGTCTGCATACCACTGTGACAACAGTACTAGTTGACCATATCACTGTGCAAGCCATCAAAGAGGCTGTATAACTATTTCTAGATCATTAAGTATAAGTAAGCTAGCTTTCATAAACGACATAGGCATCTCCTTTATAAGGCCAATGGTGTAGAGTAAGTTGTAGCTTGGTCCTATTTCTGGTTCTAAAAGAGTAATAAAATGCTTATCATATGAAACTTATATTGTATAAAATCTAGGAGGCAAAATAAGACAGGAAATAGAGTTGTACAGATCAACAAATTGAAAGCAATGAACGAGTGGACAAGAATAGACCAGCATTGGAAAACAATAAATTCTTATCACCTATGAGCAAACAGGCTTCAGTAACTTGAAAAGAATCTTCCTAATCTACTTGGTTTTATTCAATAATATCTTTTGTTTTGTTTTGTTTTGTTTGAGACAGGGATTGTCTGTATTGTTTTGGAGGCTGTCCTGGAACTCGCTCTGTAGACCAGGCTGGCCTCGAGCTCACAGAGATCCTCCTGTCTTCCTGCCTCTGCCTCCCGAGTGCTGGGATTAACAGCGTGTTCACCATCGCCTGGCTGCAATAATATCTTTTTAAAAAACTTAAATAAGTATAACAAATGGTTTAAAAAGGTAAAAGTGATTAAATTTTAAAAGATCCCCTAAAGATTACAGGAAATAATTATATCCTTTTAAATATGTGATGACTTTGAGAAAACAGGTAGACTGAGGAATATGAAACACCATCATAAATAAAATAATGAGTTGAAAATAAATACTAAGAATATTACTTTTCAAGGAGCAATGTCTACTTTGAGCAGCAGGTTTAATATGCCTATTTACTTTGGCCTCTATTCAAAACTTGACTACAATAAAAGTGAAAGGTAAAGGGAAGTATAAACTCAAGAGAATAGAGAGAATGGACTAGGTAGTAAGAACAGTAAAATTTAGAAGTCTGAAAGTTAGTAGTTAAATGGTAACTGCAAAAGCAAATTTTTCCCATGTTAACAATGAGAAAAAAAACAGAGAGTCACTTGATTTCTATTACAGGAACTTAAAATGTTCACAAATTACCATTATCGGGTATTTTGGAAGTAGAGGAGGAGGCAAGAAGTCCTCCGTACCTCTGCCCTGACAAGTGATGTTCCTCCTTTATGGAAGATACGAGCTTTCTTTTCCTTGGAGGAATCTGGGTGCTAGGCCCAAGTGAATAGTGGAACACTGTTGAGATGAACTTAGAGCTGATACACCAAATACAAGTATTAAATCACCTTTTTACCATTCTGTTCTTGGAATGATGGCTACAAAGTCTTGTATGTAGAGGAAGTAATTTAGAAAGGTTATTTTTATGGAATACAACTAGCCTGAAAGAAAGGTAATAACATTTGAGAACTCCCTCCAAAGTCCAGCACATTCATCTAAAACATCTAAAGTCAGTAATGCATACATAAGCACACAGTTTCCGATCAGTTACTTAGTTTCCCACTTTACCTGAAAGCAAAATATTAACATTCATGAAGAAAGCTACCATAGATGGAAAAATAAAACCTGGGGACACAAAAGCTATTCTAAAAAACAAAAAAGCACAAAGGGTGGGGGAAAAGGAAGGGAGGGAGGACGAGCAGGAGGAGGAAGAAAATATATCCATGCAGCAAAGTCTACAGGGAAAAACTACTAAGAAAATAAAGAAAAGTCTAGAATCTAAAGGATGCAGAGAAGAAAACAAAACCTTAGGAATAAAGTTGAGATTGTCTCCAAAACGTAGAGCAAAACTACAAGATACATAAGATATATATTTTATGTATCTTAAAAGAAAAATATATGTAAAAGGGGAAAAGCAAATCAGTGTGTCCTCAACCTCTGAAGTTTATCTCTTGAAATGAAATTATTCTCTTTCTCTAGGCCTTTGATATGAAAGTCATAAGCTTCAGGACCTTGTTCTGGCCAATCTCTAATAAGGGTTTATCAATTCTCTAATAAGAAAATAAGGATTTGGAAAAAGGTTATTCCAGATTGTACAATAAACAATTTAGACAGTTCTACAAATAGTATTATCAATTAGTGCAATAATTCAAAAATTAATTTTTTCAGAACTGAGAAGGGACAACCAGGTACTCAATTTTAAGCAAACTTAAAAAGGCACAGAATTGTGAAATTGAAAAAAGTTACTTTAGATGCTTTGAGAGTTAGGGAAATGCAAGTTAGATAAGATGACAAAGAGTGAGAAAAATATAAGTACTGAAACTTAAAGACAGCAGAACAATGACCATCAGTATTTTGAGGGAAAATTATTTCCTACCTAGAATTCAATTTCTAGCCAAAATCTGTAAAGGTTAAAAACAACAAAAATGTCCTTCCATGGTCTTTCTTGGAAGTTATGATGCCCCACAAAAACCCAAAGCAATAAACAAGACAAAGAATTCTGTAACAAAGACTGTAGAGAATCTGTACATGAAAAGCTGTGGAAGTGTCATCCACTGGTCAGCATGTCTAGACTAAGCACAGCAACAGGAGAGGCTTTTCATGTAGGTGACAATGAGGAAGTACTTACTATGCACTACCTACAGAGAAATTTGCTATGGGAGAGCACAGGAATAAATTAATGACAAAAAAACAATGCATGGAAAACTAAACACTTTTTTAAAAAGCTCAGTTTAGCAGAAAAAAGTCTAAAATGGAAAAAATAATCAAGCTACATGGTTCAGTAACCAATAATTTATGTGATTATGATATTATAAACCCTGAATATTCTTCTGGCAAAATTCATTAAGTATCTGTTAGAAAGTGAACAGCCAATATACTGGAGATATAGTAGAGGATACTTGAAAGAAAAGTAGTAATTTTTATCTTACACCGCTTACAAATCAATTTATAATATCAATATAACACCCAAAATTGAAATATCATGAAGCATCAATTTAAGAAGATACTTAATTATGCACATAATTGTAAATATACATCCCTCTGGGCTTTTTATCTATATGTATGCTGAAAATTTTAACACAAGTATTTAAATTGTTTATAAGTTTTTTTTTTCATTAAATCTGAAGCTAATAAGACACTCTAGAAAAATACTGAGTTCAGTGTCCTCAGGGGCTGTGATGGCTAATATGCAGGATAATGAAAAGCAATGGGATTGCTTTACAGTTTATGTATCTTAAAAGAAAAGGGAAAAAATAAAAGGGAAAAAGGAAATCAGTGTGTCTTCAACCTCTGAAGTTCACCTCTTGAAATGAAATTATTCTCTTTTCTCTTAGGTCTTCGATATGAAAGTCACATGCTTCATGACCTTGTTTTGGCCATTCTCTATGCTGCTATTCTTTGACAAAAGCCAGACCTCTGAGACAGTAAGTTTTTTTTACAACCAATAGTAAAAAAGGTAGTAAAATATATAAAAACAAAAGACCAACAAAAGAAAAATAAAGTCAATTGATGAACTATTAAAAATTAACTCATATATCTTCACAGCTAAAGGTGCTTGCCACCAAGCGTAGCAACCAGAGTTCCATCTTCAAAACTCACTATGAAAAGTGAGAACTAACTCCTGAAAACTGTCCTCTGCCTCCACATGTGCCATGACATGCATGTGCATGGACACCCATATACACAGCATACACATGTACAAATATAAACAAAATTTAAATTAGACATTTGCTTATTTTTATATATGTATATATATATTTGTTTTGTAAAATGAATTGTTTTTAAAAGTTGGCCAAATAGGAAGAAAAAGATGGTTCAGTAGTTAAGAGCACTCTCTGCTCCTACAGAGGACTCAGGTTCAGTTCCCAGAACCCACTTGCTGGCTCATAGGCATCTGCAACTTCAGATCCAGGAGTTCTGAAGCACTTTTATGGCCTCCACAGACACCAAACAGATGCATGATGTACATACTTACATGTAGGAACTCACACATAGCATAAAAATAAAAAAATTTAAAAGCTGAATAAAGTAGAATTCTGAAATTTTTCACTATAAAATCAGAGATTAGTTTCAAGACAAAAAATATCCGTTCAAAACACAGGATGGGGAAAGAGAGCTGAGGAAATGGTTTAGTGCAAGCAAGAGGATCTGAATTACATCCAGCGTTGACCTTTCCTCCTCCACATGCACAGGTTAGCACATACTACATATATACAAAATAATGATTACGTAAATAAATAGTACATATCACAGGGATAGAGCTCAGTAGACATGCTTTTGTCTAATGATCTGGGTTCAAGTCCCAGTTCTGCCAAAATAAAAATTTTAAGTAACTAAGCTACTTGTGTTGACATATACCTGTAACCAGAATGTATTAGCATGAGGCAGGGCAATCAGGAGTTGGCCAGCTCATGCAATACACTGGAATCCTATTGCAAATAAAACCAACACCTACACAAACAGAAACTTACCATGTCAATCAATAAAAATCCTAACATGTAAGAAAAACTCACTAACACAACTTACCATCATGTGACTGCATGACTATATCAACTGCAGAGCCCGTCAAGAACTACTTATTTCAATGTATAGCTACATATGGGAATCATTTCTTGTATTATAGCTCATTAACAATCATGATTTAATTTGATATTGTTTTGAGACAACTGTGTAAATATGACTGTCCTTGAACTTACAGAGATCCATTTGCCTCTTCAAAAGTGTGTATCACTACAGTCAGCATGGTTCTGTATTTGATAGAAAGCAATTTCTTAAAATACCAGATATTTGGGATGTTAAAGCAACAGACTGTTGGGCATTGACTTGAATTATTTAATATGCCTAGGTATATGATAGTATCTCCACAAACTTTAAAATACTTTCAACAACTTTCCCATATCTAATCATGCATGTTACCATCAAATAAAGTTTTAGTCTGCTTTGTTTAGTTTTTTGTTTTGTTTTCTGAAAAACCATCTCACTGTGTAGCCAAAGTTGGACTTGAACTTGTTAGTATCCTGCCTCAGTCTCCCCAAGCACAGAGATCACAGGCATGTGCTAACATTCTTGACTAAGTAAGTCAACAAACTGTTATTTACCTTGTATTTCTCTAGGAGAAATATAGCAATATTCCTTCTGTGATGCTTATATAGTAACAGGTGAAAGACACTTGTGGAACAAAGTACTCTCCCTGAGTGGTTATATCAGAATTTCCTTAATCTTTAGCATATCACCTCTACAAAGAAACGTTGGCTCTTTTTCACATTAAAGTATAATTTTTTCCAGATTTTTATCCATTATCTCATCTTGGATATGTAATTTTAAACACTCCTGTTAGAAATTTTCCTGATTACAACATTTCTATTTTTTCTTTTCTAGGAAGTCAAACGTAATCTGACGAGAAGGAATTATTCCTTGATTCCAGATAGTATCAGTAACAATGTTACCATCCTTGATCTTAGTTATAACCAGATCACTCTCAAAGCTTCAGACATCATGGTGCTACAGATGTATTCTTTACTCACTGAGCTCTACTTGATGGAGAATAACATTACTGTCATATATAATAATAGCTTCAGTAATCTCTCCAACCTACAAATTTTAAATATCTGTGGAAATGCCATCAGTATAATTGAACAGGACTCATTTGTTGGCTTAAATGAAGTAAAAGAGTTATATCTTTGCCAAAACAAAATATTACACCTGAATCCCAATGTATTTGTGCCTCTAAATAACCTGAAAGTGCTGAATCTGCAAGGTAACCTGATAAGCCACTTCGCTGCACCACAACTATTTCATCTGGAGTTACTAACTTTGGATGGCAATCCATGGAACTGCAACTGCAGTCTACTCGAGTTGCAGAACTGGCTGAACAAATCTCATGTGACATTAGGTAAGCAAGAAGACAATGTAACTGAGCTTTGATGGCTTATGCAGAATTAAAATAGATTAAAAAACAGCTTGGCTGGAAGTATTGCTCACTGATAGACTCAGGTCTTGAACTTTAATTTCCAGCATAGTTAAAAATAAACCAAAATCAAAATAAATAAATAAATAAACAGATAGATAAATAGATTTTTAAAAAAACCAAAACCAAACCAAGCCAAGCCAAACTAAACAAACAACAAAAAAAAACAACAGAACACCCGGAAGAAACTGCAGAATAGACACGCTTTCACCTCACCTGGTAAGAGGTGGTAATTTAAACATTGGTATCTGCAAAAAGTTATTATTAAACATGCAGAGTCATTAAGTACTATTAATTTTACATGTCAGGTGTGGTAATGCATACGTTTAATTCCAGAACTTGGGAGGCAGAGGCAGAGTTAGTTCTGTAAGTCCCAGATCAGCCACAGTGAGATTATACAGTGAGATCCTAGCTTTAAAAAACGAGTAATTTTCCTTCATACTTCCTATATATTCTCTGGAGATTGTGTCACAAAATACCGAAAAAGAAGTCTTGGTTTCATTTGGCTGGTTACTTGTTTCCCAGCACTGGGGCTTGAACTCAGGGTGTTGTCTTACTTTGTTAACTACACATCATCATGCTCTGCTTAGGATCCAGATTATAACAATACTCTTAATCATAAGACTTTCTAACATACAAACTAAACAACACATACTGCAATTAACCTTTATAACAGGACTTTATATACAACAACACTCATGTTGACATGCAAATTCATCAAAAGTTCTTTCCTTACAACAAACATTTTTGTTTCATTTATATTACATGTTTAAATGTTTTGCCTGCATGTATGTATGGCACCATGTGTGTACCAGGTACCTGCAAAGGTCAGAAGAGGGCACTGGATCCCCTAGAACTAGTTAAGGATAGTCGTGAGCCACCATGTGGAAGCTGGAAATTAAATATAGATTCTCTGCAAGAGTATCAAGTGCTTTAACCACTGAGATATATTTTCAGTCCTTCTTATTGTCTCTCTAATAAAACCAACTTATCAAAAATTCTAAATCAACATTGTGTTTGAAACACTTCCATTGTTTATAATACATCTCCATTTATTTCTTTACCAGAAAATGAGAACATCACCATGTGTAGCTACCCAGATGACCTAAAGCACTACAGCATCAAGTCAGCACCTTTTTCAACTGAATGCCACTCTAAATTTATTACCACTATAAGTGAAGATCTTTATGTTGATTTTCAGTCTATTAGGAATTCAACTTCTAATAGCTCCTTAAACAACTTAACACAGAACTCAGGTAATGTACTGGTTTTGTATATTATACTATTGCTGAAGGCATTTGACTAACCACAAGTTCTCTTTGTATTTCACTAATTTGAGTTTCTATGAACAATGTAAAAGAACAATTCATCTCAATGAAGATTTATAAAATATTGTGATTCCAACTGAGGCTTTATTAGACAGCATGCACATGAAATTGTGTATTAGTTAGCTAACTATTTTACTAGTCAAGACACTACAATTTACAAGTATAAGTTAATGGTTTTATGTGAGCTGATAATAATACCTGGTTGTGTTTTAATATGGACTATTGCATATACATGAGAGGAGATACAAGTCTACACACAAAATTCATTTATGTGTCAAAAATACCACATGCATGTAGGTTAAAGATAATTTTACACAATACTTTTTGGGCACCTGTGTTTTTACTGTGGTCTGACCCTTGAGGACTGCTATGGAATTTCTACTTGTGAAATCATGTTAGTGCTCAGAGTTAGTTACAGATTTTGGAGCATCTTGGATTTTTAACTAGAATTGCTCAACGTTAGTCATTTTGGAAAACAATGTTCTTTGACCAAATTTTTCTTTAGTGTATTAGTAACTCTAATTCAAAGAAAACTTAAAGTATGTTCCTTTCCAACATTGCTTGACTTTTGTCAACTTAACAAAGTCTCTCTCTCTCTTCTAAGAACATGAAGCTCTTGGAAAAAGCTGGGCTCTCCTTGTTGGTGTTGTCATCACTGTACTGCTAACTTCACTGCTCATCTTTATTGCTGTCAAGTGTCCAGTATGGTATAATATTCTGCTTAGTTACAATCATCATCGCCTGGAAGAGCATGAAGCAGAAATCTATGAAAATGATCTTACGAGAAACCCAAGTTCTCTTTCACAAATCACGGATACAAACTCTGAAGACACCACAGTAATATTTGAACAGTTTCATTCATTTGTGGTAGATGATGATGGGTTTATTGAAGACAGATATATAGATATAAATGAGGTACATGAAGATAAATAATTTTATCATGTTGAAATTTTTGAAAAATATTATCAGTCTACTTATAGCTTAGACAAAAAGATTTTTATTTACAAACAAAACTATAACCAGCAGATCTTCATATTAACCAGTACCTTATATAAATATCATACAATTATTTTTTACTGTACGGCACAATCAAGTCCAAATCCAAATGCAGTAATCCATATTCTGGTTAGCTAAAAGTTGAATAATTTATTTATACCACCAGCATTTACTAGTATCAGGAATATTCAGGAAAGTACATGGATGAATATTTACTAACTAAAATGAAACAATTCTGGTGTTAGCAAATACATGTGCTGCAGGATCTGAAATTATACTAAAATTTTAATCAATAAAGACATTTAGAATTATATCATCAAAGTGAGGAACAGTGAGCTCTGACTGCATAAATTGTTTTTATGCTCACAAATGAATTCACAGAATTGGAAAATAGTTTTTAATGCTGCCTGAGCCTAAAAAACAAAATTTCCTTAAAAATTGGTAGCAATTTAAAGCATAGGTACAATAATCCCTAATAATCACTACTGATATTGAGAGCGGTTATTAGGAAGGGTTACACACACAATTGCCATGTTGAATATTACAATGTTTCTCAAATTGTTTTCTAGACCTAAAGCACTACAGCATCAAGTCAGCACCTTTTTCAACTGAATGCCACTCTAAATTTATTACCACTATAAGTGAAGATCTTTATGTTGATTTTCAGTCTATTAGGAATTCAACTTCTAATAGCTCCTTAAACAACTTAACACAGAACTCAGGTAATGTACTGGTTTTGTATATTATACTATTGCTGAAGGTGTCATTTACATAAAGAGAAAAACGTACCTGGTCAAATTACCAAAAGAATCTGAATTTAAACAAGGTGAACTAAGATTCTTTCCTTTACTGCTTATATAGATTTTACTAAGCTGATGTGTTCTCTGACAATTCAGAGTAAAATATTGAGTTCTGATGAGCATTTATATAGCATGTGCAATAACCTGCATTTTCATTCCCCCCCACCCACGCACAGAAACTTTAAAATTTCCTTGATAACCAAACTCTTTCTTGGAAATATAGCTAATAGGTCACAGCACATTTCAAACCAAAGAACATGCCCTGGAAACACTAGCTTTACATAGGAAGGGTCTATCTAAAGCAAAATATTTACCAATTCTCTTATAATGGCTTGGCTGCAAATATAATGTGAACCACTTACCACTTTAAATAGTAGAATTAAAAATTAGCAAAATCTGTATTTTACCATTCTATATGTGGGGAAAACTAAGTGTATTTACCTGAACATTTTAGAAATAAGACTATCTGTAAAACATGGAACTTCACTTATGGATGAAATATGTAACATATTTCCTATGATTTTCTTCAACCACATACGTGGAAAGGGACAGTGACTAGAACGGAAGACGGAGCACAGCTGAAAATGTGCTGACAGGACTTACTTGGAAATGGAGACATGGGTATACAATGCTCCAATTCCAACGTTCCAATTTCTAATAAACAAAGAGATTCAAAAGAATATACAAGACAGGGCTGGAGAGATGGCTCAGAGGTTAAGAGCAGTGGTCCTGACTTCAATTCCCAGCAACCACACGGTGGCTTACAACCACCTATAAAGATATCTGGTGCCCTCTTCTGGTGTGCAGGTATGCATGCAGGCAGAATACATAATAAATAAATCTTTTTTTTTTTAAAGGAATGTACGTGATAACATCTTACAAAAAGACTAATAATGTAGAACTTGTCATAATTCCCCAAAATAATCCCTTTGGAAAGTTATATAAATAGTGCTGACAAAATAGCTCAGCAGTTAAAAACTCACACACCAAAGCCTGACAACCTGAGTTAAATCTCCAGAACCACATGGTGTAAGGAGGGAATCAGGTTGTCCTCTGACCTCCATATGTACACTATGGTACGTGTATGCCAAAACACATCCATACATGCATACACACACAATAAATAGAGTTTAAAATTTTTAAAGCTTATGTAAAAACTACATTCAGTTGGAATGTCCACAGATGGAAAATAAAATATATCCTTTGAACCAAAAGACCAATTTGTGTTAATACATATTTTCTCATGTTTACAGTAACTTAAAGAGTATAAATATATCTAATCTTATGAATTACAAATTGGTTTAAGTATCAATTTTAAAACATAATTACGATATCTTTCTCTAAATAACCTATCATTCTGCTAAAATATCATTTTCTACGTAGAAGATTTCAAAATTAATCTTTGAGAAATACTGTAAAATAAAATCATAAATAAACAAACATTAGATTACACCTGACCTCTTATATTCAACAGTTTATTACTGAGTATTTAGTAAATATCTGACTGAGGAGAAATAAATGAATGTAAAATTATGACTAATATGTTTTTAAAGGAAACTGATCTTGACCAATACCAAACTAGCAGGATAACTCAGTTAAAATCATATATTTAATATGTAAATATTGTTACAATCACATGCTGAGGTTATATCTACAACCAGCTTGTGCTAAACAGGTTTTCCAAAATAAACAGAGAATCAAACCATATGAAATGATGGTAAAAATGGAAGCTTTTTCCATATGCTGTCTTTATGTTGTCATTATGTATGGTCGTTCTTCTTCAAAATACATAGAGTCAAGATTAAGCATAGTAACCAAATACTTTTCAAAGCTTTTACTTTTTATTTCTAGCATAAATACTTTTAAAACATGTAACTGTAAAATTGATATATAAAATTTGGGTATTAGCATAAATTCTGACATAATGGAATGGGGACAAATGTTTTCAATTCTTCAAAGTATTCAGAGTTACAGCTTATATGTTTGCATATATGATTTTCTAATATTTAGAAGAGTATCTTGTATACAGTAAGTAAATGGTATATGTTTGCTCAATGGTTTCAAAGCAAGAGGGAATGGAAGCAAGAAAACTTTTCAAGAAAGATTTTGGTATTCTTTGTATAAGGAAGAGGCTGCCAGTTTCCCTATATTTAAGAAATCTATGTACAGCAGTATTAATGATCAGTGGGGGAATGACACTCCTTTGTTTCTAATCAACAGAGGAATTACGTATCTCTACCAAATAGTTCATCATTATATGTAATAACCTATTCTTCATACATGGGAGTGCATTTGTTGTTAACAAATTTCAGTAATTTTGGTTAAAAATTATCCTTGCTCTCAAACAGATTAACAGTAGTAAGCCTCTGGAATAGAATGGTACACGCATGTTTGCACACCATAGTTCAACTTTTACACTTACCTTACCATATGCTGCTGTATTTAATATGGGTCACAACTTATTTTTAAAATTATCTTAATTCACATTGTTATCTTTGTAGGGATCACTGCTACTTTTATTATTAAAGTCAAAGCTAGTTCGTATTTAGTCTTTATAAATAAGTTATATATAAATACACATAAGTCTATATACAGCATAGAGAATATTAATATAATTATCATCAATGTCAGTAAAAGTACAAAACCTACTGACCAATAACTCTTTCATTAAAGTAAAACTAAAATGTCATAATTCAAACTAATTAAAAGCCTAGGATAAATTCTATGAGTAGATATAAAGACAAAATTCATCTTAGAGTTTAAGTTCTTAGAAGCAGAAATCACATTTATATAATTGGGTAGTCCTTTCTTTTCTATAAAATTTAGCTCCTTGGAAGTAAATTAACATAGCATGATTTGACATTAAGATAAACTTTGTATTGAGATGTTATGGTTAATTTAAGAAAAAACTGATACATGTTCTACTACAAATATATACTTTAAATGTAAGAGGTCAGTAAGATGCCAGTTATGGTTCTTTTTGGTTTGGTTTGTTTTTGTTTCATTGAGACAGACAGAGTTTCTCTGTGTTACAGCTCTGGCTGTCCTGGAACTGACTTTGTAGGTCAGGCTGGCCTCAAACTCACAGAGATCTGCTTGCTTCTGCCTCCCAAGTGCTGCAGTTAAAGATGTGTGTGCACTAACACACCCAGCCCAGGTGTGGCTCCTGTCTGTAGTCAGCACTCAAGAGGCTGAGGCAGGAAGATCCTTGTGAGTCTGAGGTAGTCTACACTACAAAGTAAGACAGTGCCTCATAAGAATCCAACACTTAGCTAATTAATTTAAAGAAACAAATTAAGACAAAAAGTTAAAATTTTATAAAGAAATAAATGACTCACAAGTTAAACAACCTACCAAAACTCATTTAAAAATTTGAACTTACGCTTGTCTTTCAGTAAATATGACATCCATACTTTGTGTTTCTCGATCATTTTGAGCTTTAAGCTGTGCAAACAGTTAACAAAGAAGTTAGTCATTAAAAAAAAGTAGTTATCAAACCAAAGGTTACTCTGGTTATGAGCTAAATGAGATTATTGTAATAATGCAAAAAAGTAAAAATTAGAAAAAAATACAACTTTCACCTAACAAAGAATATTATCAGATAGATTAGTCCTTTATATTGACATTATATCACACACCAAAATAACTCATTTTTCTCTAGTGATTTGTCCAATAATTAAATTTAAATTTAATTTATGTAAAAACCATTTCAAAAACATTCTATATGTTCAATAAATATTTAATTAGCCATATGCTGAATTTAGAATCAACAAAATTGTGTTCTTAAATCTTTCATGATTTCCTAAATATTCCTTGCTGACTTTATGGGCACAGACCTGAATCTAGACCTTCCCCCAAATAAATGACCAAATACTTCTCAAAGTTTTTGGTATTTATTTCTAGCAATAAAATTCGTTTCTAGGTTTGTGAAACTAAAAATAATTTAGTAAATTGTTTTAGAATCCCAAGTTTAGAATTCATTTTTTAAAATCCTGCCAGGTTGATGTGGGGCACACCTTTAATCCCAGCATTTAAGAGGCAGAGGCAGGCAGATCTCTGAGTCTGAGGCCAGTCTGGTCGACTAAGGAGGAGTTCTAAGACAGCCAGAGCTACACAGGAAAACCCTGTCTCAGAAAAAAAAAATGCTATTTTCACAAAATTCTTTGATGATGTAATAAATTATAAGCTATAAAATTTTGTTATATTTTATCCGAATGTTTAAAATTAAAATAAGTTAGATATTAACATGAATACTGAACACAAATTCTCATTTACCAAAGTTAGTATTAGCTATACCTGATATCATATCCATTCCCTTTTCTCGTTGTTATAAAAACTATGAGGAGGTGCTGGAGAGATGGCTCAGCAGTTAAGATCACTTGCTGCTCTTCTAGAAGACTTGTGTTCACCTTCCAGCACCTCTCTGGAGGCTCACAACTGTCTCTTACTCTAGTCCTAGGCAATTTGATGCCTTCTTCTGGCCTCTGAGGGCACAAGGCATAGACATTTATGCAGACAAAGCACCCATACACTTTAAATAATTAACTAAAAAGACTATACAAAGATTTTTAAACATATTACTTCCATTGAATTTTAATTCCATTTGTAAAAAAATTAAAACCTAAAGAATCAATTTTTAAAAAAAGAAGTTATAAACAAAAATATTGTTAACTAATATATATCCTAGCAATATAGGCGGTTCTTTCCTAGTGTAAGATCAGTGGAAACAGAGCTTTATTGACAGATATTAAAACATTTACTCCAACAGTAACAGGGAAATAAAAGAGCAATAAAGATGCTGAACTATAATTGTGATAATTATGATATTTATATCCATTAGGTTTTATCAAACCATTTCTAGATAAATGCTTTTATTTTAAAGGATATGATTTACATACAATTATTACTTATATTTATATATTTTCTTACCATGTTGTAATCATTCATCACTTCTTCCATTTCAGTATTGGTATTGAGTTTATCTACCAACTAAAAGCAAAAATGTAACAAAAATCACCATTTTGTTAGCTTTAATGTTCTAGGTAAGTCTTAATATACATATTTATTTTCATAAACAGCTAGTGATCTCAGCATTAATACTACCAAGTGTCTTACTTCAAGAAAAAATAGTGAGCGACAGTGAAAAACAACATTGAAAAACTAACCATACTCTTCATTCGGCCAATAAAGTAAACTAAATTTTTAGTGTGGAAAAGTGAGAAGTGATGAAGGGGAAATAAAAAAGACAATATAATTTCTGTATTTTTATACTTCCAACTTCTTCACAAGAAACATAAATATAGCTGTATATTATTTGGTATTTAAAATATATTTTAAGTGGCAAGAGCATAAAAACAAAACATCAAAAGAAATTCTCTTTAAAAAAAGAGGCAATACCATGTTGTAGTCTGCTAGTTGTCCTTGAAAGTCTTTAATTTCAACAGCTAATGTCTCTGCCCTATAAACAAAAACAAATTCATTCATAAATACATAAGCAGATCGAAATTAAGAACTTTATGGATGGTGTCATATTTAATAAATTATGTTCACAAGACTGAATGACTATTGAATTGATACTCTGTGGTATGGATTCCTAATAAAGATCTTGCATGTTTTCACTGCAAAATCACTCACCTCTTTTCATATGACAAATACACTGAATTTTCTTGGTTGTACATTTCTATTTCTTTCTGAAGTTTATTAATTTCAGTTGTAAGTTCACTTATTTTGCTCCTAAGTGAAAAGAAGAAATTTAAGAATGCTTCTAACCCAGAGAAGACTACTAGTTAAAATAAATTTTTCATAAATGTGTAACAATAAGTATAGTTTTATCAAATTCATTTAAAAATAATAGTTCCAGGGGTTTGTGTGACTAACAATGGTTGATGGGGGAATGTCCTTCTGTATGCTGCAAATATGTTTCTCTTATTCGATGATAAATAAAGCTGTTTTGGTCAATGGACAGGTAGGATGTAGCCAGGCAGGAAGTATAGGCAGGGCTACCAGACTAGGAGAATTCTGGGAAGAGGAATGCAGAGAACAAGTTGTAAGAGTGACACCATGTAGCTACCAGGAAAGTAGGACACCTGGGCATTCTCCAGTAAGTCAAGACCACATGGAAAGACACAGACTAACAGAAATGGGTTAATAATTAAGAGAGAGCTAGCCAATAAGAAGCCTGAGCCATAGACGAAACAGTTTATGATAAATACAAGCCTCTGTGTATTTATTTTGGACTAAAGGGCTGTGGGACCTGGTGGAAAAGAACCCTCCATCCACAAATGGTGACTATCTCATCTTATCCCACTGAACAAATGAGAAAAACTGACTGACATAGAGTCTGTAATCATCAAGAGAGATGAAACAGGCCAGACGCTGTAGTACACGCTTTTGATCCCAAATGATGGGGGAGGCAGAGGCAGAAAGATCAATAAAAGTTTGAGGACAGCCTGGTTTATACAGTGAGTTCCAAATCAACTAGTGTTACAGAGTAGGGCACTGTCTCAAAAAAGCAGAACCAAAACCAAAACCAAACAAAGGAAAATGGAGATACATCACTAGGACATCTGAGGAGAGAAAGTTATTAGGTAGGGAATAATTAATACAGCTTAGTAGGTAAAACCAGGGTTCAGTTTTAGCATCCACATGGTAACTCATAACTATCAGAACTCCAGTGGATCCAAGGCCCTTTTCTGACTTCCATAGGCAAAGGGCACACATGTGCTGCCATACATACATACATGCATAACATTCATAAACATCAAATTAAAATAACACATTTCTTTTAAAATTCTTCATGCAACAGACTTTATTAAAAGGCCTGAAGTCAGACATGGTGGTACACACCTTTAATTCCAGCACTCAAAAGGCAGAGGCAGATTGATCTCTGTGAGTTGAGTCTAGCCTGGTCTACATAATGAGTTCCAGGACAGCCATGACTATACAGTGATGCCCCAACTCTAAATAATTACAAAAAAAGGAGAAGCTTATAAATTAGTTAAAATTAGGGCAAGCTTATATCAAATGACCAAATATAAACTTACATAAAACTCTGTGATGATTAAACTATAAATAAATAAGCACTTCTTTCCTTCTTATTAGTATACTCAGTGATACTTTAATTATATGAATAATATATTTAGAATAATATAAAAGCATAAAAGATTATTATCACTTCATGAGAAAAGCAAACTTCATGACATGACTAAAATGTCTCTGTTCCCCCTAAAGTTCACATCGAAACTTGCCAGGTAGTAGCGGTGCATGCCTTTAATCCCAGCACTCAGGGGACAGAGGCAGATGGATGGATCTCTGTGAGTTAGAAGTCAGCCTGGTCTACATAGCGAGTTCCATGTCAGCAGGGCTATGCAGAGAGAATGCATTTGTTTTTGTTTATTGGGCAGAGACATTAGCTGTTGAATCTATTTCATGGATGCTGGTGCCTTACAACAGGGCTAGGAAGACCTATGAGGATCCTGCTTTCCTCTTCCATGATATAAAGATAAGAAGGTGACAACTGTAAAGAACAGGCCCTAATCAGACACCAGAGCTCCTAGTGCCTTGATCACAATTCTTCACAACTTCTGTAATTATAAGACATAAAGTCTCATAATTTATAACTTAACCAGTTTCAGGTATTTTATTATAGCAGTACAAACTGGCTGAGACAAAATACACAGCTTACATATACAAAACTACATAAAACCATAAACTCTCAGCCTAGGGCTAAGAAAACAGTTTAGTTGATAAAATATTTGCCTTGCAAGCACAAGGGCCTGAGTCCAATACCCAGAACCCATGTAAAACAGCTCGGTTTGGTGGTCCATTCTTGTAATCCTAGTCCTGGGGAGGCATGAACAGGAGGCTCACTGAGGTTCAAGAGTCAGCAGCCCAGCCTACTTAACAAACTCCAGGGCAGCAAAGAGATCCTGTCTCAAAAACAGGTGGACAGTGTCTGAAAAGTGACACCCAAGGTAGTCCTCCAGCATCCATATGCTCCCACACAACTATATGAATATTTACCCACATGGGGACACAGGAATACACACGTACATGCACCTCCTTGTACCAAACTTCAGTCTAATTGCATTATTATACAGTATAGCCTACTAGCCAGAAATTAAGTTTGAATATAAAATTATTCTTAGAACTGAAATGGTAACTAATTATTGAAATACAACTAAAACTTCAAGGTCATGCATAAAAAACATTTGTTTTACATACCTAAGAAGTCCAAGATAGTAAGATTTGTCTAAAATTTGCCTCTGGGGACCTAAAAAAGTTTTTAATGTGAATATTAATGCTCTGTTATAAAATAACCAAAATAACAAATCCAAAGCACAGCCACCATTACAAGCCACGGTTCTTAGACATTCCTCACGAATGCCTCAATACATCATGAAGAAACACTGAAAATGAGTGCCCTAAAATCATGACATAAAGGAGGCTAAGTTTAGGCCATAGGGATCGGACTAGAAGTGAGGCTGTTAAGAAACAGGACTCTGGTCATTGGTTAACAGCACATACTGTGTTTCCAGAGGACTCATGTTCAATTACCAGCAGCCACACTGGGCAGCTGAAAACTGCCAGTAACTCCAACTCCAGGGAATCTGAGAGCCTCTGCAGGCTTGAACACTGCACTATGCACAGACCCACATACAGGTACACACACACACACACATAATTTGAAAAATAGTAATACAGTATTTTTTAAGAGAAACTAGGCACTACAGGCCAGACTAACTAGGTAGAAACTAGACCTATGGAAGCCTAGGACAGAACAGTATGAAAGGACTTTTTAAAAAATGCTATTTCATTATCATTAGATTGTATGATATGTGTGTGGAGGGGGGCACATGTACCATAGCACACATGTGAAGGTCAGGGACATAATAATTTTTACTTATTTTTGTATTATTAATAATAATTAAGCAAAAATTTCTAAATAATCGATAGCTTTTCTACTTAGTAAGTAATATGATATAAAAAATTAAGTATCCTGAAAGAAATAACATACTATTAAAGTACAGTGGTTAGGATTGGCAAGATGGCTCAGTGGGTAAATGTGCTTGCCACACAAGCCTGACAACCCAAGTTTGATCCTGGTAAGCCACAGTAAGAAAGAACCAACTCCAGAAAGTTATCATCTGACTTTCAAACATGCACTGGAGCACACATGTGTCTCTTCAACCCCCCCCCCCCACACACACATGCACACGCACACACACAAATATTAATAATAAAATTAAATAATAAAAGCACAGTTCTCCTTCGGTATCTAAAGGGAATTGATTTCAGGACTGCAATAGACACTGAAATTCAGGGATGCTCAAGTCTCCCACAAAGCTCTGCAGTACTTTCATATAATATATGTTCATTATCTCACACTACAATAAGTCATGCAGATGACTTATTGCTGTGGAACAATCTTTGTACACTATGGATGTCATTGCTGTCACTGGTCAATAGGGAGCTGACTGGCCTATAGCTGGATAGGAAGAGATTGGGTGGGAGAGCCAGAGCAGGATGACACTGGGAAAAAGAAGGGAGGAGTCTGAGAAATCACAAGCCAGATGCAGAGGAAGCAGGACGTATAGAAATTGATGCCGTGGGGTGATCTTTCTGTATTCTGTGAATATGTATTCCTTTCATTGGTTAATAAGAGAAGCTATTTGACCAATAGCCAGGCAGGATAAGGTTAGGTGGAGCAATCAAACTGAGAACTCAGATGACGAGGGGTGAAGTCAAAGGAGATGCCAGCCAGCCGCTGACCAAGCAGGTGACATAGAAATTGAGGTAACAAGCCAGGCGTTGGTGGCGCATGCCTTTAATCCCAGCACTCGGGAGGCAGAGGCAGGCAGATCTCTGTGAGTTCGAGGCCAGCCTGGTCTACAGAGCGAGTTCCAGGACAGCCCTCAAAACAATACAGAGAAACCCTGTCTCGAAAAACCAAAAAAAAAAAAAAGAAATTGAGGTAACAAGCCTTGAGCCATGTGACCAAACATAGACAGAAATATGGGTTATTTTAAATGTAAGAGTTAGCTAGTAGTAAGTCTGAGCTATTGATTGAGCGTTAACAATTAATATAAACCTCTGAGTAATTATTTAGAAGCAGCTTTGGGCCTGGGTGGGACATAGAAACCCCCGATTACAAAATGAGGTAACAAGCCATGAGCTACGTGGTACTACTTAGATAAGAAATATGGGTTAATTTAAGTTGTAAGAGCTAGTTAGGCCAGGCGGTGGTGGCGCACACCTTTAATCCCAGCACTCGGGAGGCAGAGGCAGGCGGATCTCTGTGAGTTCGAGGCCAGGCTGGACCGACAGCCTCCAAAACAATACAGAGAAACCCTGTCTCGTAAAACAAAACAAAACAAAACAAAAAAAAGAGCTAGTTAGTAACAAGCCTAAGCTATCAGCTGAGCATTTATAATAAATAATTAAGTCTCTGTGTGGTTATTTAGGAGCAGGCTGGCGGGACAAAGCTAACCCGTGGTCCAATGAAAAACTCTACAACTTATAATGTCTTAACATTATATAGCTATATCATTATTGCTGTTATTTATACTGTAATTTATCTTAAAATTAACTTTGCACCTCAGAAGTATCTTTAGCTGTCAGAAATCACTAGTCACAAAAAAACCCCTAAAAGTTTGAATCATGGTTTGGTCTATAGACAACACTGATCAAGTTTCTGAACCGAGTACAGTGTAATAGGTGCTAGCAATATGACTTAGTGGTAGGACATTTGCCGAGCCCACACAAGGTCCTAGGTTCAATCTTTGGTATCATACCAAAAAGAAATTGCAAAACTAAGTCAAGTGTGGTAATATCAACACTTGAGAGAGATGAGATAGAATGATAGGAGTTCAAGATTATCCTCAGTTGCATAGTGAATGTAAGACCACTAACTATTTTTTTTGAGACTGTCTCTAAAAAAATTTAAAAAATAAAATACATTATGCCTTAGAGAGGAGCATGTCAGTCTCATTTTTGTCTTAATCATTATAATGGAGAAAAAAGGGAATTTTTAACTCCTAATGAAGGTTTTCAATAGTGTTTTTAAATTTTTATCACATTGACATTTTTAAATTGCATGTGCATGCACACATGTGGAGGTGAGAGCACAGTGTGAGAGTTGGTTCTCTCCTTCCATCGTGTCAGTCCTGGAGGTGAAACTCAATCAAGCCTGGCCTCAGCAGCCATCTCCTGAGGAGCCATCTCACGGCCCACTAAGTGCCATTCTAAGGTGAGAGCCATCAAAAAGACTTGCAAAAGACTTTTCTTTTCTTCACATTTCTTCCAGTTGTAGCAAAACTCCATGGTCAGAAAAACGAAGCTCAAAGTACATACATACATGCATACATACATACATACATACATACATGTGTGTTTATGTATATATGTGCATATGGCTTTCGTGTTAACATGTATTCTATTATTTCACAACCATTTTATAAATAAAAGAATGACAACTACATGCTACATTCTTCATTTATTAAGATGTGCTGTAATAGTTTGAGAACAAAATATATTCTTCTTTACAAAATAAATACCTTTCATCCCAGTTTTCATTCCACTCAGACCTTGTTGGGTTACAGGACGATCAGCAACTTTGATTTGAGATGACAAAACTCCACCAGTCCCTAAGGGACCGCCACGAGAACCTGGTCTTGCTGTTGCTGGTAGCATCTAAATGACAAACAAAATTTTACCTTTTTTAAACCAGGAAAATAAAACAGTACATATATATCTACTAGCATAAGATTATAAAGAGAATTTTTCTAAAAAGTAAAACTCTACACAATTTATAAGTTCAAGGACAGCTTGAACTACAAACCAAAAGGAAAAAAAAACTAAAAATAAGAAAGTAGGGCCAGTTAGATGAGGGAGCTTATTGACAAACCTTATTATCTAAGTTAGATTCCTGGGCCCACACTATAGAAGAGAACTGCCTCCCACTGTTCTTCTGACTTTCTCATGGGCACCACAGCATGTGATCCCCACTTTCCCACCCAGATAAATAAATGTAAGAAAAAATCTTAAAGTATCATTATTTCTCCATAATGATGTGATAGTTGACATTCTCCTTTACAGAATCTGGTGTTTTAAGTATTACTATAGTGAGTATATATTTTCTTTAAAATTAGGAAAAATTTTTCATTTTGAAAAAGAAAGCACTATTACATATCCTGAGGAAAGTGACAACTCTCTTCTTGTCAACTATATAGCACATAAGTCTTGGGAAATTATAAAAGGCAATGTAAAACCATTCCAAAAATCCCTTTGTATCTTGTATCTTTTTTATCCTTTTTCTTTTATTTCTTTCTCTGCCAAAAACTAATGTACAGTAGAAGATTAAATATGGGTAGAAATATTAGACTTTTGAATTTCTTGCCATTTACTTTGTTGTTCTTATTTCTGTTAGCTGGTAGCCTTTAACACTATCAAACAACCCAGTTCTTAAGTGCCTCAGAGAATTAGTTGCAAACTATTTAGCTACATTACCAACACCAGTACACATTCCAGAGACTATGCTGAATACAAAAACAATTACAATTCAAATAAAAGTTGAGGGTTACCCATAGTGGTTTCTTGGAGAGACTGAGAAGTCTTTGGTAACTTTCTAAACAATTCTTTCTTCTGCTTTAGGCAGGCAGACTTAGAAGAACTACTTAAATCACCTGTATTTATCATTTACCAGATGAAGTATAGAGGATAATAAAATGTAATAAAGTGTGAGTACATATATTAATTTGGAAGAATATTCAAAAATGTATTACAGAAAGAGACAAAAAAAACTAAAAGAGTATGACCACAACCTTCATACGCGTATGTGTTTTTGAGTCTGTAAATGCACAGAAAGGTCTAATAAGATACATACCACACAGCTAACAATGCACAGAATAGGCAGAAGCTCTCAAAATCAGCCACTGTTTGTATTACATTGAACATCACTCACTTTAGAACCATAGATATCATAGGTAAAGTGCAAGGCAAATAGAAGTTGGCCAAGAATGTCAGATTACTTTTGTAAGTATTTAATTAACAAGCATCAAAAGAATCAATTATTAATAGAACAAGAGAAAAATCATTTCCATCTTAGGTTATAGTGATATAATACAATTATCTGAAATTCTAGGAAAATCATACAAGTTTAAGAAAATCTGACTATCATTTATTTCCTTTTTTTTAAAAAAAAAAGTGCTGTCCTTTAAACATAGGACTCAGTAGTATACTTCTACAATTAGCCTATTGTTGGAACTCGAGTACCAGCACTACGTACTTTTTCAGTTACTCAAAACCATACGTCTGAATAACAGAAAATACTATACCAGAGAAAAGGGTTTTGTTGTTACTTGTTTTTTGAGACACCTATTGCTACTGCCCCAGCCTGGCCTGGATAGGATCTTGCTATTATCTCAGGCTGACTTGGAAATATGTAGTCTGGCTTTGAATTCATGGTTCTCCTGCTTCAGCCTCCAGAGGGCTGGGATTACAGGCATGCCGCCTACAATTTCATTTCTATCAACATGTAAATGTGTATTACTGTTAAATTGATATTATATTGCTTTTTAAAATAATATACTACAAAAAGTTTTCTCAAATATATTAAAAATAATTTTAATAATAGCCAGACACATTTTTAGTAGCAGAGATAATTTATTTAAGATTTGTTTATGGGGCTGGAAAGATGGCTCACTTAATTGTTGCTCTTCCAGAAGACTACCATTTCATTCCCCAGCACTATGTCCAGAGCTCACACCTACCTGTAACCATAGCTGGAAGAAATCAGACGCCTTCTTCTGGCCTCCATTGGTACTACACGTACATGCACGGGCCCACAGACACAAATGCACATACACACATAATTAAAAACAAACTTTTAAAAATGTTTAAAACGAGACCAGTAATGGCACATGCCTTTAATCCCAGCATTTGGGAGGCAGACCCAGTCGGATCTCTGTGAAATGGAGGCCAGACTGGTTTACAAAGCTACACAGAGAAACCCTGTCTTGAAACCACCCCCCAAAAAAATTAATTAATTAATTTAAAATGTCACTCAATCTGTTCCAAATTTTTGTTATTATAATGAAAATATAATAACCTCTGTAGTTATAATTTTTTCTTAGAATAGTCACTTTATAAACTTTGTACTTTTTCAAATATGTTGTTTCTCTTACTGACTATGCTGACATGCCACTATCTCAATAGTTACTAAATATTTTTTTCTCATTTCCTGTGACAATAAAAATATTTTTATTCATACCATTCACATATTTTTGGATATTATTATGCCTTTTCTCCTTTTTGTTTTTACCATTCAGAAATATTTTGAGCCCTATTTTTTAATGCTATTACTCCCCAGTGTCCCCCCTGCAAAAAAAAACTAACCCATGGAATTTACTTGACCATGAGTTTATAGCTTTAATCTAGAAGAAATTCATACAAATTAGTAAAGTTTGCTTTTTCATTTTAAAATTCTGAATACTAAACTGGGCAGTGGTGGCTCACATCTTTAATCCCAACACTTTCAGGAGGCAGAGGCAGGTGGGTCTGGTCTACAGAGTGACTTCCAGGATAGCCAAAGCTACACAAAGAAATCCTGACTCAAAAAAACAATAACAAGAAAGGATTCTGAATACTGATGTGTGTGGTGGCACAATCTGTAATCATTGCTATCCCTTAGATGACTGAGGCAAGAAGGTTCTGAGTTCAAGGCTAGCCCAAGCTATAGTAGGAAGACTTTGTCTCAATTTTTTACAAGTTATGAATGACATATACAAAAATACTTTCCTTCTTGTCGTTTTATTTTTATGGTATTTTCAATTTCATAAGTTCAAATATAAAAATTAAAAATATTTTCAAGTAATTGTTTTTCTACCATTATTAGAAAGTCCTCAGACTTTATCACGTTTATACTAAGTAATTATATATATTTTTTCCTCTACCAGTTATAAATACTCTAAAACACCAAGTCTCTACACTCTTTACAAGTCTCATAAATGACAAGGAGGGACAAAAAATTGCCTTAAGAAATAATTTATTAGGTTTGGAGAAGGTCTCAAGAATATTCTTTTTTCTTTTTTTAATTATTTATTTATGTTACTTCATGTGCATTGGTGTTTTGCGGGCATGTATTTCTGTGTGAGGGTGTCAGGTCCCCTGGAACTGGAGGTACAGACAGCTGTGAGCTGCCATGTGGGTACTGGGAATTGAACCCAGGTCCTCTGGAAGAGCAGACAGTGCTCTTAGCCACTGAGCCATCTCTTCAGCCCCTGTATTTTTCAACTAATCTGAAAAGCCTCATTACTAAACAAATTCTTACAAATTATTGGTTCTGTTTTAAATCTACTTTATCTCATTTGTTTCTTACTCTAAAACAGTATACAATTTTAACTATAATAATAGCTTTACCCTTGTCTAATACATACAAGGTTCTGTGTTTGATCCCAGTAACACAAAAAGTAAATTATTATAACTTTAAAATACATTTATGGGTATCACTAAACATTATGGTCTGATTCTTCCACGTTGTATTTTTACACATCTTAGACAATTTTTCATACAATTAACATTGTTTATAGAATAAAAGAACAACAAAGTAAAATCTGCATTGCACAGATTCCCAACTTACTGCAGTTGCGCCCCGAACGTTTCCAGATGGGGGTCTTATTCCAGAAGGAGGCCTTCCTGTCAACCCTAGTCCACCCCGAGAAACAGGGCGAGGGACTGGAGATTTGTGGTTACTGGCCATTGTTCGCTTTAACCACTGTTTGGAAACAAAAATATAATTCATGTTTTTCTTTGCGGTCTCATACACCAAAGTACTAGTAACTCACTACACCCTTCCTTCAAATGCTTAATTCACAGTGGTTTTTTTTTCTTGCAAGTACCATTCTCAGATACCACAAGGCTAAATTGGCTTTAATTTTATTCACATTTTACTTTAATATTCTACTTAGAACTGTGGGATTGGGGCTAGTGAAATGGCTCATTGGGTAAGAGCCTTGTCATGTAAGCCTAGAGACATGAGTTCCATCCCTGGAATCCTCGGAAAGCTGGAAGAGATTGACTCTACAAACTCCCCCATGTACACTGTAGTATGAGCATCCACCACCACACATGCATCATGCACTTACACATAATAGCAAACAATGAAAATGTGTAAGTACACAAAGAATAAATGAGATCATTTACTACAACATTCCTTCCTCCATTTCCCATTTCAGCAAAGGCAAGGCACTCTAATTCTTTCTTGTTGGTGTATAGAATCCTTAATCATGTTTCTATCTGTTCCTGTCACTCTCAGGAAATAACCTGATTTCCTAGTAATCTGATAAAATTAGGACATAATTCTATCACCTTTAGAGCATACAAACCAAGCTAGCCCATCCTGCTCTCCAGTATCAATAGCCATCCCTTTCTCATTGAAAATTAAACTATATTCTGATATGTCCTCTTCAAGCCACCATGTGTTAGAGTCACATCTCCCTCGAGATATTATCTCCACTGCAGCAGCAATCTTTACAATTTACTTCTTTCACTCTACTGGCAAGTTCAATTCTTTTCTAACCACAGAAACTAATTTATTTGTCCTGTAAACTCCTCTAACCTATACACAAAGTCTTCCTTATGGAATCAGGCTTTGTAGAGCAGCTGATTTCCACTACCTCCTAGGTTTCTACTACTCCATTTAGACGCCCTCTGTCAATATTCCAGGGATAAAAGTGTCATCTTTGACTGGTATGTATTCTATGTGAAACCATCAGCGTGACACTAGCCTACTCCAGTTCTCTTTCCAGGCTCCTTCATCCTCTACTCGACTGTCTATGGCAGCATTGCACACAAGGCCATCCAGTCTTGTTTTCTTATACCCACACTGAGAGTTTTAGCAAACAGTGAGCTAAGGATGCACAACTCCTTATCTCCCTGATACAATTAACATCAGGTTTTTACATACAAAACTTAATTTCTCCACTTAGACACAGTTAATGAAAACCTATCATTTTCCCCAAATCCCTCCTCCCTCTTGGTATTTCCTCCTACTCATACAAGTCAGAAACTTGGTTCTTGATTTCTCCTCTTTCTCTCATTTCCGATAGCCTATTGGTTCAATTCCTTCAAATGCTATTTTCACAGTCCTGGCAGACAGTTTAGGGCCTCACTAATTCAAGTAGGTTATCATATCAGCCTCCTAACAACTGTCCTTGTCTAACATATCTTGCATGCTGGCTTTTCAAGAATTCTTCCATGACTACTCTAGACCACCTCCACCTTCTTAGGCATTACTGGGCTGTTGCATACAGCACCATATATCCTGCATAACTCTGCCCAGTACCCACCCCAGTAACAAAGAATCTGCTCAGGTAGAGCTGACTCATATCTTTAAACCCGAGCATCTGTCGCAGCGGCAGGCAGAAACTATGTTTTTGTATCTCCTCCTATGCAAAGGCATCCCAATTACAAATTTATTAAATTTGGGCTCAGAAAGTAATTCAGTAGCAGAGAAAATAAAAATACTGTCAGATTAACCAACCTCCATCACCACAAAGGAAAAATAAATAAATTGTCTTCAAAAAATAGTGTTTGAGAAGATATGTCTACCTTGACTCAAATTTTAAAAAATAAACCAGGTATGGTGGTGCATGCCTGTGACGGAAGGGAGGAAGGAAGAGAGGGAGGCAAGGACTCACCACGACGGCAAACAATACATGGTTGAACTCAAGGCTTTATTCCCACACCCCACGTAGGAGAATGCTCAGCATTTCTCATTTTTCTTTGCACCACCCCATGATCCATCGTTATACTGCTAACTTCTACAATTATCTTACAATCGCACACACTTTTCAGCTCCAACTGTAATAAGAATTCATAAATCAATTGTCTGCAAGTCTATCATTCAAACCAGGCGCCACTTGTTTACTGAAAATGTTCACTTGTTTACTGAAAATTTCCATTTGGGCATCTAAGCAATTACCTCGTGTCAAAATAAATAAATAAATAAATAAATAAATAAATAAATAAATACATGCACACCAACTCTTCCATTCCAAGCAGCACCCTGCCTCTACTTGACTATGGTTTTTAACTAACCAGAGACACTAACAGCATTAATTCAAATGAAATCAAAGTTAAGTGAAGCGCCTGTAGTCAAAAACGCTTTCTCAAAAGAAGGAAAAACACCAAGTAATTCCAGCACAACCAGTCACTGTTACTCTAGCTTTCCTGTTAATAAAATGTTAACACTATAAAGAATCTACTGCATTTCCTTTCAATACTGCTTTAGCTGTAGTGGAAACTTATGTTAGTCCCACTTGTGTTAAGAGAAAGGGGAGGAGGGCACAAACACACCCCTATCCCTGGAGCTCTTTTACCCCCATTCGCGCCATCATGGGGGAGGGCAGTAGTCACACAATCTCAGATTCCACAAGGACGGTAAGCACTTTGGCACACACACAATCCCCTTGGGTGGGATATGTCTTCTCTAAAACATAAGTGTGGCGGCCTGCCTTTGTTTTGCAGAGCTGTGAAGTTAAAAGCATCAAGTTTTTCCTTCCTATGTCTGCCATTATCCTCCGTAGGGCCAACCCTTCCGACTTGGGTTCAGGGAGAAGTCGCTGAGCCCCTTCCCCCCTGTAACCGGCTGACAGCCTCCTCCTTCAGGGCAGTGACTTTTCACTCGTCGTCCAGGTGTTGAGCGGAATCTCCCAGGCCAAGCCTCAGTCCCCAGATTACAGAACAGCCAAGAGCCCACGAATTCGAATTTGTTCGGAGCGGGTCCGTCGCCACGGAACGATAACCCGCGCAGGGAGAAGGCGCGGGAGCTGAGATTTCTCACCTTGCAGGGGCGAATGCGTGGGGTGTGGGGAACCCCCGCAACACGAACCTCTGAAGAGACGGTCGGGCGAGCAGCACCGCTCCCCTAAGCACAGCCTGGGCGCCAGGCCGCGTATCCCAGCAACGGCCACCGCGCGGAAAACTCCCCTCGTGATTGGACGGCGCTGCGCCTCCCGATCCCGGTACCTAAAACTGGACCCGGGACTGGGGTGGGGGTCTCGCGAGATTTGAGGCCAGCCTTTCCTGCCTGTCTTTCTCACCCTTTCTTCCTTTCACTCCATTGCCCTGAAAAAAGTGGTATTCCTTAATCTTTCCTTTACCAGAGCTCTTTTTTTTTTTAAACCTAAGTTTGTGAGGAAGGCTGCATAATTGAGAGTGTCCTTAAAAGATTTGCTTTGCAAGGTCTTGTTTTAGGGCCGCTGGCCTCTAAATCACGACGGAGCCCAGGGTGACAAAGACTTTTCTTTAGAACAGAACTGTTTGTAGTGGGGATTTGTTGTTTGTTTGTTTGCGTAACTAAACGTTTGTCAGCTATCTTCCCTTACCCAGGCCTGCTCCCCTATGGGATATGATAGTGACTGCATTGGCTGTGCCCGTCTTCCTTAATAGCGGGGTCTGAGTTTCTTTCTTGCTAGAGACAATCTAACCCGATGCACACACCCGAAATATGGATGTAAATCGTTAGGAATACTTCAGGGGTCTATGTAAGCAAGGATGCCAGCCCCAGCAACTATATCCAGGTTTTAAGATTGATGTTTGTTTGTTTTGAACTTTAGATAGGGCCTCTCTATGTAAACCTGCCTGTCTTAGGAACTCATTATGTAGATCAAGCTGGATGTATATAAATCTTCCTGCCTCTTCCAAGTTCTGGTGTTAAAGACTTGCACCATCAGCTTCTTACTAAACTTTCATAAGTTCATTTTCTGTTTTTCGTTTAAACACAGTTGCTGTACTGTTAACTTCCAGTTAACAACTCTGACATATGTTAACAGTTGATATTAGCAGGACCGGTGTCCCTGACCTAGTTTTAAAGAGATTAAGTAATTTGCTTTAAAACGTTTGGGTAATCAGCAGTGTTCCCTGTCCGCATGTCGTTTACGGGATGAAAACAATTCAGGAGTGCGTCTCACTGAGTGGCCTCTCAGCTTTCCTAGAGAAGGGAATCTACTTTATTTGACATTTTCATCTTGTCTTTGATTGCTTTAGTGTGGTACTGGGGATCGAATATGGACCTCCTAGATGCTAGGCAAGCTCTGTACCACTGGGGTACATCCACAGTCCAAGATTTTGCCGTTTCTTTATAGGAACTTACGTAGGCTACGTCAAGTGACTGAGTACTTTTAAGTGTGCGTGTGTATCAAGTTTTCTGCCTGAGGACCTCAGCTTCTTAAACCCTCATGGGGTTTAATTGAATATGGGGGCTCCCCCCAAATTTACAGTAGTAAACAATTTCTGAACACGCAGTGAACAAAAATTAAAGAACAAATGATAATAAACAGGAGGTGTTTGTGACAACACTCACCCATGTTGCATCTCATGACTTCACTAAAGCACACATGCGCACTCTGCACTTCCAGCACCAGCAAGGCATACCGCTAATGGTACCTGAAACACCTTGGCTCAGAATCAACACTATTGTATGCTATGAACTGCAGTGTTTTCACTATATAGTTTACTACTCTTACTAAGACATAATTAAACTTTTGGGGTATTGAAGTAGCAAGGAATACAAGAGAATCCAACATATATAATTTCCTTGAGCAGTGATTTTGAAAGTTGGTCTTTCATTTAATTCCATTCACCACTAGTGTAATAGGAATGACTAAACACTGAATACATTAGCACATTGACTATAAAAAAGTTTTTATTTCATTGTTTGGGAGAGGGGATTTTGGAACCTGAAATTATTTCCATTGCCTTGTATTTAAAACTATATCAGACCATTCCAATATAATGTTATTTAATATGTAAACTGGATTATCATATATATGGTATGACTGTTTTTAAAAAATTAAGTCAGAGAAAAAACAATGTCTTAATTATAGAAAATAAAAGGTCAGTATTTTTGTATCTTTATTCCTTAATATGTAAGTATCAAGTTGGTATATCATTGAATTTTATTGCACTAGAATAATTGCTTTTAAAATTATTTTAAGTTGAAGACTTGAGCTTAAAAAAATATCAAATAAATTTTGGCTTGAATTAGGACAGGATTTCTAGGAGAGCCCTGAACATATTTCTACCATTTTGTATAATTGTTTTTCTCAGCATTGATGATTATAAAATCAAATTACTGACCCACTCTGAAAAACATTAAATTGAAGACTACAAATCCTGAGTTGGGTTCCCAGCACCCTTATCCAGTGGCTCACAACCACTCGGAACTCTACTCCAGGGGATCCAACTCCCTCTTCTGAATTCCACTGGCACTGCACTCATGTGCACATGACCACATAGAGGCACACACAGACATGCTTAATTTAAAGGAAAGCCAATCTTACAGCTATTCGTTTGAGCAGTATCTGTTACAGGAAAAATAATTAAGGTAATGCTGGGGTCCCTGCAAAGTTCTCCTGCTTGCAGGAAAATGATCTGCATGATGAAAGGAGGAAGACTCGGTTCAGCTTGATTTAGTCAAGCTGGATCAAACTTCTAGTGAGTGATGCCAGGCAGATCATCATAATGTAATAATTGTCACGTCTGCTGCGCGGCCTGTGTCCGAGAACGTGCGGAGGGTGTCGGGTATCGACAACACAGAGACTCGTTCAATGATATAAAGAAAACTTTAAACAGGCTCCAAAAAGGTTCAAGAAAAACTTCCTAAGAAAGGCTCCCACCAGAGGAACTTCTGCTCTCTCCTCTCCCCTGGCTGGTTCTGCTCTGACACCAGAGGTGGATGTGTGTGGGTTTTTGAAGGTGCGGTTAGTCTTTAGACAAGGTCGAGGTCAGGGCGGTTTCCGTGGGAAGGCCTTTCCCAGGAACTTATTGTATCGTTTTTAGTAAACATGTTTTTACTAAACATTGTCTTACAGCTGCCTACTCCCAGGCAGAAGGGGAAGTGGGTCTCTGCTCAAGGTCTGGTGTTCCCACAAGTGATGCCAGGCAGATCATCATAATGTAATATTTGTTTAATGTAATGCATATTTAAGCACAGTACAATTTGGGGAAAAAAAGTTTCCAGGAAATAATCATTCCGAATCCCAGATGCACAATAAACTTACTGTGTGACTGCACAGAAATTCCTTTATATAGTACATGTTACCATGAAGGTAGGTTCTGCAGCTTAAAGATGTAGGGCCTGGTGTGGTCTCCGACTGTGATAGTATAGAGGTCAGCAGGTCATGAAGTACATGTGTCATCTCCCCTAAGGATGAGCTCTTGGGAGGCAGAGTCTGGGATAAACATTCCGGGGGCTTTCTGTAAGGGCTGACTCTATAGATAGACAGGTCACCAGGTCATCATAAAGTATACACAATTTGACCATTAAAAGAATTGTCCCTGAGCTATGACTATACCCTTGAGTATTGATGCTGTGGGGATAACCTTAGAAGCCTGGAGTTAGCACAGATGAAATTAGGCTGAAGACATGTGAGATTCGCCAGATGGAAGAGGAAGGGACTTCTTAGAGCTTTCCTATCTGAAAACGTTACAGTGGAAATAGAGAGGGAATGAGACCATCGTAGGGCCTTGAACTGTTACCTTGCAGAAACTACAAAGGCATCCCTCCATAGCGGAACAGTAGCACACTTCCTATTCCATTCTCTGGATACCCACTTGTGTTCTCTAAAGAATCCTTGTGTGTTACTCATGACACCTTTTCACATACACACCCACTTTTCTTTACTAAGTGGGGCCTGCAAGCTTCTAACCATTTGATGAATCAGCTGTTTCTTTCATTTTCTCAATTTGTGTAAAAACTGACTTCTTTTTCTCCTCTTTTTTAATCTGTATTTTGTTAGTTAATTCATTTTTGTAATAGAGCCTCTTGTAGCCCAGGCTGGCCTTGAACCTGCTATATAGCTTCCTACCTTCAACTCGCAAGTGCTGGGATTACAAACCTGTATTATTACTATGTCCAATTTTGTTTTTGTCACCTTAATTAGTAAGATCCCAAGATACTGAACATGATAGGGGAGATGGAAAAGTTCTTCCTCGACAATATGGAAAGTTATTCAGGATACATCGTTAAAGCAAGGTGAGGAAGTATTTACTTACAGCTAACATGATCTTCTTTTGGGGGGATTGTCATCTTTTTTATTTTTTTAATTTAAATTAGAAACAAGCTTGTTTTTCATGTCAATCCCACTTCCCTCTCCCTCCCCTCCTCCCCTGCTCCCCACCGACTCCCTATCTCTAACCCTTTCTGCTCCCCAGGGAGGGTGAGGCCTTCCATGGGGGATCTTCAGAGTCTGTCATATCATTTGGAGCAGGGTCTAGGCCCTCCCCCATGTGTCCAGGCTGAGAGAGTATCCCTCTGTGTGGAATAGGCTCCCAAAGTCCATTTGTGAACTAGGGATAAATACTGATCCACTACCATAGATTCACCAGACCTCCAAACTACAGCTAACCTGTTCTTACATCTATATAAACAATCTTTGGGAAGCATACCAGAAAGCAATGATAATTGTTGCTTCCAAAGAAGAACACTGGGTGGCTAAGATTTGAAAATGTGCTCACTATCTTTTTGAAGCTTTTGAATTTTAGTTCAAACAATGCATTATTACTATATTTTAGTATCAAAGAAAATAAATAAATACCGTGATTAATTTTCACAATCATAAAATGAAATCAGCACTTATCTGGACAATGTTTCCAAAACATAAAGAAAGATATGAGTTCCTCAATGTTGAGCAAGGGAAAAAGAACTGTTAGCTGGAGGAAGGTGTCTTTGTTCTTTCTGAGCACCACAAGCTTGAAAACAGCTATTATCTGATGTAACACCACATAAAAGAATGTACTGAGTTGTATTTGCTATGAAAGCTCTTTAATATTCTGAATCGCTGGTAAGTACAACACAATTTATAAGCTGTAGAGTTCACCATGTACCCTTCTAAAGTTACTCCACATCATACTAACAGCAGTTTTCAGGCTAGGTCCTGCACTAAGGACAACTTGCTGTCCTTCTGATCTTGGCTTTTCCTCGCTCCCACGTCACCA